CCACATGAACTTTATTTAGCAATATCCTTAAACGCAAAGGAACAATTTCCAGCTTCATATCCAAATCTCTTAAGCACTCGCAGCTCACCTTGAAGCCAAGGGCCAGAGTTATGCAGGAATGCGTCTGCATTTCTGTCATTGGTGGGTATGCTCGATAGGCAAGTTTCGATAAACCAAACTTGGATTTATTGGAATGGATGCACATCCACCGCGGTGTTTCGTAAGCTTTTGACGACGCCATGAATCACAAAATCAGAGGAATTCTAGGGAATATGCAAAAAACGGCTGCATCCGACCTCTTGCGCTCAAGGCTACGATACCGTAAATGAGTAAACCTAATAGGGTATGCAAAAGTTTAAGGGTTAATAATGAAACACGGGCAAGGTTATTGCAGGGCACATTCTGCGGACATTGTAAAACAACCTGACACTCCCATGAATATTTTTGGGACGTAAAATGGGCCATCTAACTTGTTCTGTCTCAGCAATGAAACAGAGACCGGTCAGTGCTCTCGTAATAACGTACAATAAATGTCACTAACCCAACGCACGAAGATCGAACATGTTGAGGCTTAGTGGAGAACCAAATTCATCTCCTGAAATAGTCTCTATTTAATATTTGTTTCCTGACTTAAATCACAGTCGCGATTCAAATGGTCAAATTGTAAGTACACAAAGTGCTCAAAACTTTTACTCACTGTTTTGGATTGTGTGTTTGCTTTGTGCAGGACATCGCATATGTCAGGCGTTAACACTTGTCTTTTGTAGGTAAACACCTAGAAAGGGGAATGCTGGACATGCTGTTGCTTGATTTTGCCTGGCATCAAATCTCCAAACCGGAAGTCAACTGGAGGGATTTGCATATTTAAGGGCAGTGCCGCCGTGCTTCTCGTTTGCGAGATTTGCACCAGTTGACTGTCATGAATGCTTAAAGAGCCTGTTTGAAAGATGGGGCAGGAAAATTTGTCCACTTGAATGACCACTGAACTCATTTACTGGGAAGCGTGTTAGTCACTTTGGTTGTTTTCAACAGATCTGAGGACCTGTGTCAGTATTTAGCATACGTTTATGGAAGTGGGTAGCACGAACTTAATTCATCTAGGGAAAAGTTCCTTTTAGCCCCATCACCCGGTGCATTAGTGCTGAGTAACAGAACTGAACTAAAGAAGGCAGCAACGCCATTGTAATGTTGGAGAACGTATTGCCCGCATTTACTGACAACGCAGTCTAAGTCAAGTCTCGAAAACCGAGTCTTCATGCGTAAAACCTAGCAAAATCAACGACCTACTATTGACACACCTACCTGGTGATAGTGGAGGTAGGTTTGTGATATTTAGTCACTGTGTTCCCCAATGTTTCAAAGCAATCATCCTAAGTCATTTGGGACAAAATCTCCAATGACACGGACATGTTTGCTTGCACAGTGTGGCGATTTTCATGTGAATCAGTTGGTTATGAGTTGGATGAATCGGTACTCGTTTCTCAATTCCTACCATGACTGCCTCCAGAAGTCTACAACCACTCGATACTCGACAGGCGGCACTGAGTGCAATTTTGCAATCTTTGAGAAGTTAGCAAGCCTAGAGTAAGCGCCATAATCGAAGGGTGCGGCATCGTGAAAGTAAACAAAGTGAACTTCACTACCTCCGCTATGACCTGCGAGTTTCATGTGAGCACATACCGAGGTGTCTGTGTTCGTCGTCACCACAATGAACACGATAGCCTCTCTCAACTTGCCTGATTCAGACAGGTAATTATTTTACTTGACAAGCTCATTGGCTTGTCATGTCTGCACTGTTTCGCATCCTGTCAAATCCACCACACACTGCAACTCGCGTTCATTGGATGAAAACGATTTTGGATGTCATCAGTGCGGGTCCTCTCGACTTGTCTCAAGTCCTCTCATTTGACGCAGAAATCGATGTCTGCGTAGAGGCAATTCTTGATCATGTGGCAAAATGTTGACAGCAAATGTCTAGCACATGTGGGTAAGTGCCGCTGTGACTGACAAGGTCGAATACACCGTGGACAACGCCACGGCACCATTATCTGTTCTCGTTTGGCAGCAATGCCTGTCCGTTTACGCGCAAGTGCAGTGTGTAAGCAGCGAATAACGAACAAACAAAATTCATTGTGCATGGCTTTGTACAAAAATCAAAAAATTATACTTGAAGACAAATCTTTTTTCATTACATTCACGAACTTCCCTGAAAACACCTCACATTTAAGCCGGGTTTCGGAGGACACTAACTAAGAGAAGATGTAGTAGAGTGTAGTAGGATCCAGTTCGGATTTGGCTGTGCACCTGTGTTAGTAAAATACTACTATTCTTCACAAAAATACAAGCATTGAGTTTAAAGGGGTTCTGTTTAGGTTCTCCGAACCCACGTGCTTGTATCATCAATCCCTAAGACGACGATGAATCTGGCATTTCCAAACGAAAATACGCAAACCACACAAAGACCAAGTTAAGTTGACAAAGTTTAAACGTTCTTCTCCACCTAACTCAAAACGCTTACTGCATCTCATTCAGTAAATAAACTTTTCGTAACTGGACAATGAACCTGATGACGATAACTCATAATTAGGACATGGGTCACATCATTCATTCCAGAAGTCAAGCTTCTCCTTGAAGTAGAAAATTTAGACTAAAATACGTGTACGGTGTACACTAAATTTGCAAAGCATTGCTTCCCCCTTCGTTGTGTTGATGTCTTCACATTTTGCGAAACAAAATTGTGCAATTTACTGTAGTAACTCGCAAGTGTGTTTTCCTGTGCAGGCCGTTGTGGTTGGCAGCATGCACGAAACTCGCATTCTCTGACCAGCCTGTGTCGCCGCGTGGGAGAAGGGCAGCAGAAACCTGAGAGGTGGCGCTGTATTCCGGTGGTGCACGCTTGGTTTTAGAATAAACTTGTAAAAAGCTATCAAGAATGCCAGAGCTCCACAGTAACGCTAAGAGCGTTATCAGAAAGTGATTAATGCAGACAAGTTGCAGTAGGCTGAGATATTTGCGTCAGCTAGTTTTCAGTTAGTATCCTCAAATATTAGTTTGAACAAAAATTCGAAAACTCATGCGTGGGACTATGTATGTGCAGGCCAGAACTTGGCAATAAGGCCTCTCTAAAATATGAACTTCAGTACTTGAAAAGGTGGTGAGAGCAGTCCTGCACTTTGTGCGCTTAGAATTTATCAGCATGAGTAAATGTCGCAAGGTAATGTGTACGCAGACAAAGTGCTACAAGAAAACTGATTGGCGAATGGACAGCAGAGACTTAAATGTGGATAGATTTTTCTTTCAAATATATCGGAAAGTGCTGACATCGGTTAATCCCAAATCTTTCAACCAAGTCTCTCTGGAATTTAAGAATGAGTGTAGGATGAATTCTGGCACATAATTAGGGGTTACTTTTCATAACTTCAGGGTACGAAAGACGTCTAAACATGTATGAAATGTGAAACGAATTTACAATAGTTACTGATTTATGCCCATTTTAATAGATTAGGCACAATCTGATTTTAGTAGCTCAGTCTGGATAAGTTAGTATTGCCTCTGAAATAACTAGCCCTAATTAGTTTTTATTTATTAGCAAAATATTCTTTTATAATCCTGTAGAATGTACAACTCGATTACAGTTTTCATTACGGGTTTTTGAGCTGTGAAATCCTATATTTGTCTTTTACCATGAAACATGACAACTGGTTTTACTAATTTAACGGGAATCATCAAGCCAAAGTTGAGAAGTAGCCAAGGTTTTGATGTAGCTTCGTTTTACTAGTTGCATTACATGGCATCAAATGTTCCCGTTACATTCGCATACAGTTCAAAAGTCAGCTAAAATTTACAGTTAAACATTTATAGTCGCAGTTATCTTTTAGCCTGACAAATAGCGTAAGCTGCCTTTCTGCTCATTGTAGAGAACCTGTTAGGATCCACGTCTCAGCTGTAGTGGCAAAAGCCTGTCTGAGCAAATTTTCTCATATTAATTACCAATCAAGGCCAACTTACATTGTATGAGTTCTCTAGCAAATCTGATCTACACTATTTACCCTTATTCTGTTGTAAAAAATTGCTTCTTACCCAAAGCAGTAATAAATAGTCATTTGCATCGTGTCTTGTTTCTGTGCCATGTTCTTTCTTTTCTATCAAACAAAATGAAAATAATTATCTCAGTATAGAGGTTAAGCGAAAATCCCTAAATATTTTATGCTGCGATATTCGCGACTGATACAGAAAGGCCCTGAAGACTAAAATGTAGGTTGTTCACTGCAGCCAGGAGTTGGTAATTAGAGAAAAGTGCGCTCTTAGGCATTTCTTCCATGAATGTAGTATTATGAAACATTCCAAGTCGTAACACAAACTCGTCATATCATTATAGCGCTTAATCATAAAACAATCTTGCTCACACTGAAGAGAGGCATCTTGTGAAAAAATTTTTGTTTCAAGTGCTGTCTGTCACGCTTCCATAAATAAAAGAACTTAATTTTTTTAAAACAAAATTTAGGAAAAGCAATCCAACAGTTTTGCGTCTCCTAAGGCATTTAAATGCCGTATATTTGTTCAAAAAGCCACCAAAATTTATGTTAATTACTGTACTAACTGGAAATTTGCTGGAACATTAATTTGAACTGTTAGAAATTTCGATAAATTTTATTGTTTCGGTCTATATAATCCGAAATCAATACCAAAAACAATTTGCTTTGAAACTATTATACGAAAATAAAATTATAGAGATTTATCATTGCATGAATATAAAAATGCTTTTAATGTATTTTATTATAAATAATTCATAAACTTTGTGATTTCACTAATCATACAGCGCGATTTTCAAAGATTTCTGGTGTCAAGGCTGATGTTTTTTGATAAAGCTTTTTCTGCTAAAACTAATTAACCACATAATTTTCGACAATTGAACTAGGACATGCTGATTTTACAATATTTACGTGGGTGTTATTCCTATAGACGTAAGTTTATTTATTGACGTATGTTGTAGTAGTAGAATGAGCTTGTTGGAAGGAGCCCAAGGTTCAAATTCTCAAGAAATTATTGCCTCCGAGAAGGAAAGCTGTCCACCTAGTGAACTGTGCGACCTTTCTTCAAATCAGCCCTTGTCTTTTCACAAAACCCCAGCTGCTTTTCCCTCTAGCGTTGTCATTCCACGTCCCGCCCTTCGCAATCCACCGACTTCATCTACTTCTTTCTCGCATCACCATTCTTCTCAACTTGTCATGATGTCCTCAACTAATGACCTTTTGGACGACCCAGCTGAAGTGTCTGGCTCTGCTACCGGCAAGAAAGTGAAGATTATTGAACCATCAGTGGCTGACAATGAATCTGAGGACGAGGAAAGTCAGGCTGTGTCGACTCAGAGTGTGGGCTTAGAACCGAGTGATACTGGAGTTCGCCCAGGTGTCCCGGTGGCAGATGCAACCACTGTTCAATCAGCAGTTCCACCAAACACCACAGCTACTGCTGCCACAGACACAGCTCTAGGTCAGAAGAAAATTAGGGAAGAGCGTAAGAAAGAAAGGGAAAAGAAGAAGGAAGAAGAAATGCTGAAGAAATTTAAGGCCGAACAGGAAGCAAAGCAGAAAGCGGCTGCTAAGTCCAAGTGTGGCAGGTGGATTAAGCACAACATCAAGGTAATTTTGTTCGTATTTGATTTCTATGCATTTTTAGATCGGCGAAGGTGGATATAAGTTTGTTTACCGTGGATACGATTGTATCGAAGCGCGAAACGTTGCTTGGTGTGAGTTTAAGCCTGAACATGTTGATACTAAAGAGAAGAGACAGGCTATGTTTCGAGAAACGGAAATAATGTTGAAGATGAATCACCCTCATATTGTCCGGTGTTTTGACGTCTTTCGTGAATGGACCAATGAGGAATTACCTGAAAGTCCTCTAGAGGAAAGAGGGCTTGTTATAATTCAGGAATTGATGGCTGAAGGTACCCTCAAAAGGTATGTGGATTGCTGGACCCTTTTTACTTCAGTGTTATCCGCAAAAACTTCCTCGACGGTCAGTGTATCTTGAAATTTCCGCTAATAACGCGCTGGTGGCGCCAGATTTTGGACGCCTTAAGATACATGCATCATCATCTGGAATCACCAATTATTCATCGCGATTTGAAGTCAGAAAACTGCTTCCTGTACGGTGCCTCGGATGAGGAATACTTGAACGTAAAGGTTGGTGATTTCGGCCTTGCAACACATGTAGGGCACAGCGGTAGAAAAACTATGCTAGGTACGTTTAGTCGTTTTATTTTGAGTGCTGTATGCTAGTGTTTCCCTCTACGCTTGGTTGAAATTTATGAGGAGACTTCACCATTTATTGTGTTTGTTAGATATTGTTACTCTAGATGTTGCCTGCATTGAAGCTCATTGGTAACATTTGTGCGTACTGAGATTCATTCGTCCGTAAATAGATTTGGTTAGAACTGTTGTTTTTGAAACCTAAGTGTGAACTATGTAATTGGCTAATCATGCATGTGTTCTTGCGATCTTATGTTCTGTAACAAAGCACACAACGACTGGTTTTTTTCCTGGAAACTCCAACTTCTAATGAAACAATCCTGACCATTTTTTTATCCCACAAGTGTTCACATTGTTTGAGGGCTTGCGGTTTGATTTTTGATTATCGATGTCGAGTAAGATCTTCTTTTTTATGACAGTTATAAAGGCGTAATTGCTGCCTTTTGGTTGTGGAGCTCTTACTGTACAAGCTTCATCCACACTAAATGTTTTCGTCTGAATCCTTTGGTCGTCGGGCCGGTCAACATTAAAACCTATTCATTCATCGTCTAGGTAGTAATGGTTGAATTACAATTTTCTTTCGCTTTGGCTATAGGCACGGTAGGCTTCATGGCACCAGAGATATTCGATGAGAAGTACGACGAGAAGGTGGACATTTACGCATTCGGGATGCTAATGCTTGAAGTAATGACCAATCGGACACCCTACGACGAGTGTGACACTATGCTTCAGGTGGCAGCCAAGACTATGTCTGGTCACGGGCCGGATATCATGCAGAAGATTTCTAATCCCAGTCTCCATATGGTAATCTCTGCGTGCATCCACCCTCTAGCCTGCTTCAGACCAACTGCTGAAGAACTTTTTCCCCTTCCGTTATTTCAGGTGAGCAGGTGAATTGCTTTATTATTGTTTGAGTAATGACTGGATATCTGTGGAGGCCCAACTTTTGTTGTGACTAAGACAGTGTGTTGTCCAAAATTTGCTCACTTGCGTCTTGCATCTGACTACTCCTTGATCCTGGGGCTCCTGGCTGAAACACAAGGGTCGATTTGACTAAATAACACCCGGGATGCTAGTCGGGTACAAGATCTGCTCCATAAAGGTGGCGTTTTGTGTTTCAGGAATGGGGATTTTGATGGAGGCGGCTTTGTTGTTTTGATCTTCCCTGTCGAATTTCTCAATTTTGTTCTCGAATAAGGCTGTATTAACGATTTCGAATGAAGGCCGCATGTAGTGTAGTTGTAAAGGCGGTCAGCTGCCCAATAGCTTGTCAGTTTGCTTGATTATGAGTCAATGGAACAGACCAATGGGCGACGACATTTCTCAAAATCTTATCGTCATCTTAGCTACTTTGGTGACTGGCCATGTGATACACGGTGCCAAGACGTAATGGTCGAGGCGGCAATTAGCAGCGACGGTTGTCTTTTATGCAATTTCCAGTTATGTCATTAAAGGGAACAGCAAACTCACCAACCAAAAGTCGCGGTTACCTTAGCAATGCCGACAATGGCACCGTCGTCTTGCAAGACGTTATTCCAAACGGCACATGCAACTTCATGCACTTTAGGCTCAGCAATTTACCGTATATCCGATGACCGACTAAACTAGTCTGAACTAAAAGGTGTGGGGCGTGGTTGAATCGACCGCGTGCATTAGCTGAATTACTCTTGAGGGTGATCTAATTTCACGGATGGCTTCATGCGGATGCACGTGGTCGCGGAGTGAACTGCACACAGGCTCCACTAACTCTGGCAAGCGTTTTGATAACGCAACTCGACAACCACGCAAATGGAAAGCAGTGATATTTTGAAGCTTGTGAGGGGAATTCGTAGCTGCAGAAATCATGCATTTACTTTCTGTTACCTGATAGCCGTCAATACTTCATGATTGGAAAAAGACGCTTCGTTGAAGCCTGGCTTAATAACTTGTCTGCTTCATTGCTCTTTTCATAGCTGTTTGCACTTTTAGCAAAAGACCTTGTCGGTAGAAGTAGAGCCAAACTACGAAAAGATTTCAGATCGAACAGAAGTGATTGAGCGCTTTGTGCGATCGTTGGCAAACCCCGAGACTCGAAATCCCAAATTCAACCTCCGTTTGCGGTTCCGTGATCGCAAGATGTTGCAGGAACTCGGGTTGGACGAGGGTGAATCGCTTGAATTCGATCTAGACATCTACAAAGCCGAAGACCAGGACATTCCTGATCTTATCCAGAGTTTAGTAAGTGGTTGTGTTGCTATAAGTTGAGCTCAAAATGTGATAGTTTTGCAAGCCTTGTCACCAAGAGCCTCTCGTCTGCATAACTGTACTGATAATCCTCTCAATGCAAATAATCACGAAATTGGCGGATATTTTGAGCGTAAGGAACCACCTCTGTTAGTTTTGTTGGAATAACACGTACGTACTTGTCAGCAGTGTCAGAGTGGCGACAGGTTGGGATGTCATTAGTGGCAGGACGTCGCAGTTTGTGAATCAAGTGTTCAGGCCTCGTTTGCAGGTCGAAAATATGACGGTTTACTGAAATGGCTTGGTACTGATAGTTAGAACTGGTGAACTTACTCCCTAATCGGCCAGCTATTATCTTGTCAAATCAGTGTGTTCATCTCAGAGACGTATTGCACTGCAGTGGTACATCTTAAACACTGGTTCCAAATACAGTTGCGAACTCGTTGTAGCAACAATAGTGCTAATGTTGGCATGCTCCTCGGCACTGTTGCTGAGACAATCATTGTAGGTGGGATATAGTGGCATGTGAAACTCAATATGCAGTGAATGAGTTCAGGTTAGACATGGCTACTTCACGAGAAGAAAGGCGTGTGGTTGCAGCAGATGGAACGATTTGTCGTCTGATGGTGGCATAGATCCTGCAGCTTAACCAGTTCAAGCCAAATCCCTGTGCTCCACTGTGTTAACTGCGTGTCCTTATGACCGTTTCAGGCTTTTGGCATGCTAATTAATCGTTCTCGTTTGCATAGCGCCGGGAATACGAGGACAAGCTGTCCCGTGTGTACGTGAACCCGAAGCAGCCGGACAAAAAGATAGTAACAAACCACCTGGACAAACTTTTCACCAGCATTCGATTGCAAATGCAGTTCCTGGTCAAATGCCTACTGGGCAAACGGTGGAAGGATATTTTGGACTCACTTGTGTCGGAAACCAAGCGGTCTAAAGACAAGCCACAACAAGTTCAAGAAAGTTCCGGAGGATCGGTCACTGGTTCTGCTGCAGTTGGTGCTTTTGCAGATTCTGACGACGAACCCGATACTGATGATGGTAAGTGGACACAGCCCGCGTGTTTTTCCATCTTTTTCCTCACACCACTTGTATTTCAACATTTGTAAAAGTCGTATATCGATTTTCCGGCTTTCTGTCGCTTTTTCAGTGCATCTTTTGCATGTGGCCTTTCACTGCTGTTTTGTTTACGACTCATTATGACGTCAACTCACTCAGTCGGTTACTGCCTCCTCTAGCCCTTGTGTATAAAATAGCGATTATTTATTTCCTTGAACCTAGCAGTCATTTTTATGTTTCCCATATAGAGTGCGCTTGATCGTAGGTTGGTGCTCTAGTTCCACTTCATCATCACTTTTAGCGGTCACATGACCATAGCTTTTGATTTGGATTTCATGCACGTGTCAGGTAAACTTCACTATTGTCTCCAAAGTCTGTCATTACGCTTGAAGTAATTGAGACCGGACAATTATGCACACTCGCCCTATCCTCTCCTAGGCGACTGCAGCAACTTTGCTATAATCGGAAAATGCAAGACCAAGTGGCTAAAGGCAAAGAAGTTGTTAGACCGTGAAATCCAGTCCTACCGCAAGGCGGCTTCCTTGAATGCATCTGCTGCGGGAACCAGTGGAAATTGTGAGTCTTCACAAAATCCTTTCCAGCCCCAGTCGAGTTTATTCATAGCACCTCCACAACCAAGCGGTCCTACGGGTACGTCGTCTCCATCTGTGGTAAATGTAGCTGAAGGTCTTCCAGTGCAAACCCCTCCTCTTCCATCAGTCGGCGGCACAGCAGAAGTTGTGAAAGTGGGTACAGAAGACGTGCTGACTCGAACAGAAGGTTCCCCAGCACCCACGGAGTGCCTGCCTGTGGTTTCCCAACAGGCGAGTTATCTAGGTGCCTGCGTGCTTGTTGCTAACCACAAAGTCTGTTTCCCAATGTAATCGTTTTGGTTTTCATGCAGCGTTTTTTTACCAATGTACACTTAAGAAGAGTTCTACATCTGCGTGACATGCCATGAGTCGTCGAATGTATGCGTGCTCTGCTCGGCTAGCATGACGAAAGTGCCTCTTACAATGCTGACACGACCTTTTCGCCCGTACTACTTGACTGCTCTGTGTTGTCATCCGAAAAGTTACTTGCTTTTGCCTCCGCATTGTTTCAACTATTGGTAGGGGTTTTGTGCCAGGTTACTTGGAGGGCAATTTGCTCACCACAACCTCTGAGTTGTCTTAAGTGAATCCGACTTGCATTTCTCCCAAACTCTGGATGTGTTTCTAAATGTGACCAGTTCCACGGTATGTACGTGGTTAGAAAGCCGTTTAAACAGGTCATGTGAGTTGAGTGGTGTTTTCAACACAAGTACCGCAAAGTGACTAAAGGTGAACAACATTTGGCCTCTTGTACGAAGATGGAGTATGCATTAACGCGTGAAGGTCACATTTGCATTCATGTGTACAATTGCATTTTCAAGAGCACAAGAAATGTCAGGTTGTCAGAACACTTTAAGGTAAAACCACAAAGTCAAAAACCAGGACTTAATAGATTCTCTATGCTAATTCGAATGGTAGGGTGTTTGCTCCAACAAGCCTCCAACGAGAATCAGTTTTTCATCCACCAATCTAGTGAGGCTGGTGCCACCATTTGTAAAAAATCGCAGTAAAGTTGTCCCCAAGAGAGACTACCCACAAGACTTTCTTCCAGTGACCGAATACTTACCATGTCCACACCCCTTCTAGATCATGAAAGCTGCAGAAGATATGTATTAACGTCCAAGACCAGAATTTTAGACTGCGTAGACTGTAATGCCTTTGGTTCGCTTGATTGGGTTGGTAAGATGCAAACCAACGATTTCAGCTCTTGGCTGATAATCTTGTGATGGTGTTTTGGAGGTCTTTGAGCTGCGCTTCGTGACCTCAGTCCACTTCCATGAACTTGTGATTAGCCTCGAATTTCCACAAATCTGCCCGTTTAGGATCTGCCTAACAGGCAGCCGAGCATCCCAGCAGCCAGCACGCAGATGTATACTCCCCTTGCTGCCGTGAATCTACCGACTCAACCGCAGCACATAAGTCAGCCAGCTCCACTACGACACCCTGCCCTACCAGTTGCGGGACAACCACACCCCCTCCACTATGCGTTATCTGTCTCCCAGCAGCCCGGTTCCCTCGGCACCCCCTTTGTTGCCAATCAGGTGTTCCAACCTGGAACTCCACTCGTGTCCTACGTAAGCGACATCGCTTCGCGGATGCTTGTTTATTCTATCAACTTCAATGTTCTGTAAGGGTCAGAAGAAACTTTAGCTTCTTCCTGGCATGAACACCGATACAAGATTCTGTTTCAGGTGTTCCTGCTATCACACTCATTTGTTTTCGTTACCTTGGCTGCCTTCTCCCTTCTTTGATACCTCAAATTAATAGTTATTCATTGAAAGAAATGCGCTCCTTAATTTCACCTGACGCATTTAGCTCATTCATGGTCTTGCAAAATAATCCATCCTGGAACTTTACCTCTCAGGATGTTCAAACCAGTCTTGGCATGACAGGGGTTCATCCCGTGATGCTTCAAAGTGTGCAGCCGTCACAACCCGCGGTATATCCCGCTCTTCCCGTTGTGACGAGCTCCAAATCAGCTGTCCTAGTAGACCACCAGCCCTCATCGGTCACAGCAGGAACCGCTTATTTCGCCCAACAACCAACGAACTATGCCACGGCCAAACTCCCTTCTAACACCAATCTTCAATCCCAACAGCGACTAGGTGCGTTCCATGCGCATCCACCTATTTCTCTTATCTGGTTTGCGTGTCGTTCTGAAATAATGTACTTGTAGTTTCATTGGGTTATTGTCGTATCTACCATGGTCACATGTGACATGCCTATTTCTCAAGCCCTCTTTGATCCTTAATTCTGTTTTCTAACCAACCATGCAACCAAAGCCAGCTGCAAAATGCGCGCTTATTGTCCCATCAAATAGGACAATGGTGTTATGCTTCAGACTAGCTGTTATGTGGCATTCACGAGTGTCGTTTTAATTTGATTCACGCTTGTGTTCGCAATGTCTTATGCAGATTTTGCTGGATGAAGCGTTGTGTGGTAGTGTGTAGGGGTCCTACGATAACACAGGAGCTGTAATAGACAAAACACCCACAGTTTCGATGAAGTTTGGTTTCTGGCACACCAGAATCAGCCGTCTACTGTAATTAGTTTTGAAACAGAAGAGTTTGAATAGTTTTGCTGAAATGCCTGCTCATTTAAGCGTGCATCGGGTCAGGTGGTTTGGATTGTGGTTAATTACGCTGGGCCAGCTGTACTGCAGTTCGCCATGTCGAAACAGTGCACTACCGACGACCACGGCCGTGAATCGTAAATTTGCGTGTCTCAAAATAATGCTTATGCTCTGCACTAAATGGAGGATCGCTATGCTCTGCAGGAACACGCAATTTACACAACACTCTCACCTAAAGCAAATCCAAAACCATCATATTAACGAATTGATTTGGAACTATGTGGTTGCATTATACATGAAGCAAGCCATTTCTAATCCGTTGACATTGCTTTTTATGATTATCTTTCGACAGAGACCACTTATTTTTGTAACACCACAGGTGTGTACACCCACCCGAATCGCGTACTATCCAGTAATTACTGTGTTTTGCTTTAAAAAAATGTATCTATTGTTGCAGAGTGACTGGTCTGAATTTCGACATCTATTGCCAATTTTACCGAGTTGCAGAATCTTTTAAGCTAATAATTCATGTGACTATCGCTTCGCACATGTTCTTGCCTTTTATTTGCGTAAATACAGATTTTTCCTGGATTTCGGTGCCTGTATACATTTCATTTTATCCCATGAACAACCACGTGTCCTTTTTGCCTGTTTACGTTTTTGCTTCGATGTGTACAAGCTGATTTGAACAGTAGCGCGGGCCGAAACTCATGCAGCTAGTGTTTGCTGTGCTGGAGATTTGGTTTCTGAACATTCCCAACTCCATTTCACAAGTGACATTGGTGGGGAATGATTCTCAAGCCCTTTTCCATCACCACCTGGGAACATTACTTGATATGCTTGCATGTTAGTTAGTTAGTTAGTTGTTTCGGCGCGGTGTGTGCTATGGTAGCTGAAGTTAGCTGTGTAGAGAATGTGGTCTGAGCTTGAGTTGGACCAAAGAAGGTGACTCCGTCTGCAACTTAATTTTCCCTTTTTAATGAAGTAGGTAGTGAGACCAGTTGCGTGTTTCATTTGAACGAGATCAGTGAAGTCGGTCAGAGTTCAGTTGCTTATGGTAACTAGGAATTGAGAAGAACCACTTTGCTTTAGTTCGTGTGTGGAGTGTGGAGTGTGTTGCACCTTTGTTACAACCGACATTCTAGCCACGATGATCCTGAACCCCCCCTACACCTTACCTGGGGGACTGCCCAATAGCTGATGAGTAGAGACGTTTTGATTGTTCACAGTCTGATTTTCAGATGCCTTCATCCAGGAAAGCGAAGGTGGTTAACCTGAAGCCCTTCATTCTCTTCTTTCTAGGTGAAGAGGTCCTGTTTGATCAGGACACAACTTCAGACACGGAGGTATGTCATTGTGTAATACATGCAATCAGTCTCGTTGCAGTGAAACGGAAACGTGTATTGATGCCAAATTATTCAATTATCGAGTTATCACAGTCTGCGTCAATGAAATTGCTTAAATCCTAAATCACTTGTGTGGTTGTTTTAAGGGCGCACTTCTTGTCTACAGTGTTATCTCACAATAAATGCTCCCCTTACCCCTTACTTCGGCACCAGGTGGATAAATCAGTTAACGGTCATTAGTCTCGTTAAAAACGGCCGCTATCTTTCCCAAATAAGCAAGAAACCATTCCCAGATCGTGGGGAGGATTCCCTTTGTGCGCCCAAAAGTCGTTTGCTAAATGTTTTATCTGTGGCGGAGTTTTGTGTATTTTGTGCTGAGACCTGTTGGGATTTCTCATCCAAAATCGATGTAACTCCAACGCGAAAGGTAATATGGCGTGGGTCGGACAGGAAAGGGGGGAATTTGCCCTGAATGTTTCGTTACCTAGAACGCCTTGTTAAATGTTCTAAATTGCTTGAATAAATTTAGATCGATTGATGTTAATATGTGGAGTGTGTGTTTCCAGCTCGAATCGCCAACATGACGATGACCTTCGGAGTGTTCTTTGCACTTCAATTGGTTGCGGCTCATGCTGCTGTAAGGTACCGAATTGTTGTAGTCGGTTGTAAATGTCTCCGTCACATTTAATCCATTGTTTTCAGCAGGCTGCTGGCCAGGCGGTGGGAACTGGGTCCACTCTGACCGAAAATCTGCCAGTCACGTTGGCGGGTGGTGGTGTAGTGGCTGGATGTCCAACCCTCCCCAGTCAACATCCCACGAGTCAACCAATTTGCACCACTGCTAGCTCCCTTCCACCCGTTACCAAGGCAAGTCTCTCCGAGGGCCTATGTTGAGGCTGATAGCATTCAGAGGCGACTATTATTATTATTTGGACAGTTGCTTTTATTCACTTGAAAGCGTACTGTGCTCTCACCAAACTATTGGTTCAACGGCTCGAGCAGAGATGGATAGAGGCCACGCAAATTTGTCCATCTTGCAGTGTTTGGCAAAGCCTCCATTAATCCTGCAGTGTACTGCAGCAGCAGGAGTGTTTTACATTGGATGCTGCCACTGACTCTTGGTAGCACTGCTCTTCTACTCAAAACAATTAGTGTTTGCTTGCATTTGTTATTGTGCAATCGTGTGTGGGTGTAGAGTTAGAACTCTTCCTAAGTTGTACGGAGGACTTGCACTCAGCACTTCATCTTGTTTCCCCGCCAATGTCCAGATGAGGATGTTGATTAAGATGTATAGCAAAGCTTGGAGTGGTTTAGGTGAAACAGTTTGTTACCAAAACATGTTATTTTGATTGTCTAAGCCCTAGGATCTTAATGAGTGTTAACTGTGCATGCTAATGGTTGTTGCATTCAAGTGAAATTGGTAACACATGAATTTGTTAGTTAGGTGTAGTTAATTCGCGCGTCCTAATGTTTGCTAATCACTGAAGCATCAACTTGTCGCCTCAAAACCTCTGAGACTGACAGGCGGTTTGCTCAAGTATAACTAGCAGGTCATTTGGAAAGTTTTCGCAAATCACATACCTCCACCCTTGCTTGTTTGAGTGTTGCGTTAATGCTGACTGAAAAATAAGCCCTAGCTTGGCGTTAAGAGAATCGAGATGATTCAACTACTTTATGTTTTGTGTATCCTTTTGTCCTTGCTTAACTCCGTGCTTTTTGTTGACTCAATTAGGTAACTCCTCCAACGTCGTAAGGTTGCTTGTTCTCGTGGAATCAGTTTTCTGAAAACTTGTGACGTTAGACAATTACTGGTTTGTTTTGTTTCTGACCGGAGCAAAGTATGCCGGATCAACCCTCTCGTCAATGTGCATGGCCTTTTGTAGATGTGGTTACCTCGAACAGGTCGATTCAGGACCAAGTCAAATGTTGGAAATGGTGCTGTTTTTTAATACCCGTAGAAATCATAAGAATTAGTATTCTATCAATGGTTTACGTTCTTATTGAATGCAAGGCGAGACTGATGGGTTTCATGAACAATCGGTCAGGCAGGTGCCAGTGTAGGATCAAGTTGATTTATATGCGAGCGGTCTGCACCTCGGTAGCATTAGTATCGAGGAATGCGTGAGGAGCGACGTTGTCCGCGAGATCATCCATGTTTTAGGTCAAAGGCACTGTGTTTAGTAAAGTCAAGTGCTTCACCAAGTCTGTCGCCAAAGTGTTAAGGAAATACCGACTGAGCGATATTTCGATCGAACAAGCAGATATCTTGCGACTGATGCGGAAAAGCGCCGATTTGTCATAATCTGTCCTGCTTGTTCTCTTACAGAAGTATATTTCGGAGAAATTGTAGGAATGTATCTGCAGATTTCGTATTTCTGAGACACAGTTAGTCTTTCCGTAGATAGTTACATTTCGAACCAATCACGTGAATTAATTTTGTCTGCTGACAAGAAAGTTGTTGTGTTGTCATTAATGCAAAAACTGATTGATATTGCTTTTATTCATTTCGTTGGTGGTATTTTGTGTAGCCCTTACGGGAGTCCGTGTTACGATTTAATCTTCCTTTTCGCACCCGCTGAAGTAACCATATATTGCTTTTTTTCTAGGCTGCTGAACAGCAGCGCGTTGTTGCATCTAGCGGCACTAAACCGAAACGGAAGATTAGCCACCAACAAACGACTGACGAACAACAACCACCCCGCTACATAATCCGAATAACCCGACTGGAACGAGAATCGGAAGGTTGTGATGTGCCGGGAACTCTGCGGCCGACGTTTTATGTTGAAATGCCAGATGCAAACAACCCTACGAGTGAACTTTGGAAGCTGAGTTTTCGATGCAACCTCTATGATACAAGCGATGACATTAAATTAGTGAGTCTGGATCATTTTCAACTGATGTTGTTTTATGTTGATTCATAGGTATCATTACACTGGGCCAGTGTGAGGGAATTGTCAGCAGTGTATGTTCAAACTTGCAAGAGCGTTATTTCTAGAATAAGTGTTAAGTTGGCGAATTTCGAGTAGCATTATTTGCATACCACTTTATGTTGTCGCATGTGGTAGTATGCAGTATCCTTTTGACAATTTCATCAACGAATACTAAACTGAGAAGTATTGCTTGTCACATTCGATGTGAATGTTTGTATTAACAGCCGCCGGTGCCAACGGAACCGCTGCTGTAAACAATCCGTGCTTCACAGGCTAGCCTCTCGGTGCCATGAAAACATTAAGACATCTGGTGATATTGCGCAAGCTGGTCGTGTGAGCAGTCCTGGATCAGGCTTCTTCCTGGTTTTGAAATTTACGTTTTCTAGGGTTGACTTTGCACGCACTGCGGCAGCGCTCGCCCACATGTTGTCGAAGGTGTATGCTAGGCTTTTTTGTTATGCGATTCGTACATTGTGTTGGCCAAGAAGCACCATCTTCGTTTTGGTTTAGGTTTCTTACAATATATTAATGTGATTTATCCCTGATCGAGGCTGTCTGCATCGTATTCTCATTAAGTTGGATCACTTTGAGAGCAGGTTTGGGTCTTATGGACGCAAACTTCTGACTTCGTATTTTTCGGTCCTTTCGCGCGCTGCCAGTGATTCAAAAAACAGTGCTATTTAGCTTTGCACAAGAATTTGTTTTTTCGAAGAAGTAGTCATTAGTAAAGACTTGTTATTAGATTTCAATAATACCACTTGATGTGGGGAGAGAGAGAGCAGTGTGATGCATTTTGGCAGGAATTTGAACTGGCGATCGTTTGTGGTAATCATCATCATCACCACATCATATTGCTGCCTGTTGATTATTCCCTTTTCGTTCTTCTTAGTTTGATGGTTGTGGCTACACACAGACAAACGAGGAAATAGACCGCGCGATAAAGGAGGCCGTGGCAACCATGCTGCGGGCCTTGCAAGCTGATCAGAAGTCGATTCCACTGAACCACGACTACGTTTTCTATCCCCAACTCTCGCCTGAATTGGTCAGCCTTTCTGCATGTGGTGGGGCGCAGATCAAGAAGGAGGCGACTGTGGACGAAGCGGGAGTGTTCCCCTCAAATATCACTATGGAATGTTTCACAGATTTTGGTACTGTTACTCATTGGGGTTAATTCTGTACAGCTGACTCCACTCACCATTCCAACACTGTAGTGACTGGTTTCGCTTACTCGTTCTGCATAAGACCACGTTTTCCGGCTGTTCACACTGATAAATGATCTTTCAATTAAGTCCTTGCATTATAATAGGTAAATTTATTCAGGCTACTTAGATAAATATCTGTTTTTATAGTCCTTCTGCAGACTTGTTGATAAATTCAATGTGGCTGAGTTTTTGTCCAAAATTGTCTTCTCATCGTTTTTAAGCCTCTTCTCAATATTTTCTGCCTCTTTTATGCCATTGTTTCATCATTTTGCGCTTTTTATGTTGTACTGTTATCTTCCGTGAATGCATACGTTTATGGTTTAATTTAATTATTAAAAGTTGGAATGATTTCTGTCTGATCACCATTAATTTTTTTTTCTGCTTAATTGTTTTTTATCAAATGCGATTGGTACAAGTAGGCTTAAGTTGTGCAAGGTTATCGGAGTCTATTTTGCCTCCCTTTAATACTCATGTGAGTCTTTCGTCACTCATTCTGTTTCGCAATTTGCATCAAGTGTCAATACCTCGCCTTTTTAGATGCACTTAAACGGTTTAGGCCATTGCCATTTAGTAAACCTTTTGACGCTACGTGGGCTGTTTTCGTGCTTTACCTAACTGTCTAAAGCCCACCTAATGTCTTCGAAAGGCACTCTATCGTTGCAGAAGGGGTGTCTGCCGCATTTTTTTTAAATTCTATCTATCTCCAAGTGTCTACTAAATCCTCTTTTTATTCAAAGAATCACCTAATGACGAGGACTTGAATGATAGCACTCCGTCTGCTGATTCTCCCATTGAAATGGGAACATCGTCGCGATTCGCAAGAGCGCCCGTCGTTCCAACTCCTCAGCAGTACCCCTTTGTGTCCAACGTGCTTCCTCAGTCACAAGAAGGGCCTACTTCCCTTACCTGCAATGCCACCCTTGAAGAGGTGTCCCCGCTTATCACTGCAGGCTTCACCGAACCCTCTGTCTACCAGTCGAAGTCGAATCCCTCATTTCCTCAACCCGTGGACGCATCCGTGTGCTACGCATCAGAACCCGGTGCAACGTACGACAGCACCGAATCTCTCCCTGTTCATACTAATTCTTACACGCACCACATGCTCACTGCTAAAGAACCCGAGGTCTTTATTACCCTTAAGGTTCCCGCCCATTCACAATCTCTTATTTCTCAATTTGCAAGCTACCTAAGCACCAACCGACGCACTAATCCGATGCTTGTTGTTCCGAGCGATCCCAGTTCTCCAGGGCATATTTCGGTCCTTCCTGATCATTCCTCCTTTTTGTGCTCACGGGGTGGTATTTGCGGAGGTTTCAGTGTATTGCCTCTCCCTGCGTCACATTCTCTTCTTGTAATTCAAGAGAACTCTGCTATGGGCCCACAAACAAGGGTTTTTCGTCCACCCGACACTGGAGCGATCGTCATTATGGCTGATGAAGAGGTACATTATGTCCAACGTCCCACAGTCCTGCTACCTAGGAACCCCCATCATCCCCTAGTGGAAGTACCCCTTTCAGCTGCCGATGGATCTGCAATGTCATTTGACGATATCCTTGCCCTCATGGTTACCCTCCGTGAAAGTTTGTCAGATGCACCTGCTCCGATTACTCTTCCGAAGCACCACTCTTTCACAGAGAATGTTTCGACAACAGCACAGCAGGCCCAGTCGCAGCATCCACAAATACGCCAGCAAGACACGAATTACTATAGCCTACCTTATGGGGCGGTGCCGCTAAACTACGCTAGAGGAACCGTACCAGCACCTCAACTTCCCGTGGTCGCTGGTGTTGCGCGCCAGCCAATTTTCAGGGCTGCGCCCCCTCCACCCCAGCAAATACCTGTGAGACCACCTTCGGGCAGCGTGGCCTCTGCTTCCCATGGGGACTTTTCGGCTGTGACTGCACCGCTAGCGACCCTTGCTCCGCCGACCTCTCCATCCGGATGCATTCCCAGTAAACCCCACATGTCGCCACAAAGACCGTCACAGCAGCAGTTGTTGTCTGCCGCACTAGCGGCATCGGGGCTGAAGCAAGACCAGGTGCCTAATCAGTCCCAGCTAAGTCTTGTTTATGTAAGCGCCTATGTTGGTGCGCTTTAATTAGTAACGCACGTGTGTGGTCCTGGCGTTCCGTCAATACAGAATCGTCGTAACGACATGTTATGGAGTCTGCAAAGCTTTTTTTCTAGCGATTCCAAACTTCTTGGTAGTCAGTTTTTTTTCTATCATGAACATGCACAAGCAGGTGAATTGTTGTTCTGAACTATAGTATATTTTTATCCAATGAATGCCACCGCTTGCTTGAAACTTGAATCGTCTCGTGGATTTTTGGTTGCAGACAACCAATGCTACTGTTTCACTTTACTGTCGATCCTACATCTCCTTTTTATTCCGTAAACTTGATCTGTCCTTTTTTCCAATGATCGAGCAATATTCATACCTAGGATACATAAATGGGCCAAATAATATCCCATCCATGACGAATAATAAGACTCTACCCATCATAATTCTGTACGATCTGCCTTTAAAGCACTTTCTTATTTCTTCTTTAGTTGGCGGCCCTTTTATCTGCCAACCCATCGCTATTGCTTTCTGCTATGTCCGCACCCGCCACAACTATGTCTCCGTCCACTAGTGATGCATCGGCCCCAGCCAGCGCCATCTCTTCTTTTCCCACCACCACTGCACCAGCTACATTACCTAACGCTCCTTCATTGTGGCCAAATTCATCTACCACGTCACTCCAGGCGTCGGCGCCTTCAGTGATTCCCTCCAGCGTGCCCGCTTCTAACGTTACGGCCTTGACACAGTTCCTTCTACAGGCCGCACTCGAGGGATTGCAGCAACAACAGCAACTGCCATCTACGCCCATTGCTGCCCCTGTAGCCACGTCTGGCCTTCTTCCAGGAGTTTTTACTTCCCCAGTAGAGGAACATGATGCGAAGGCTGTGTTCTTCCCTGCTTCTCAGAGTGCCCAGCCTTCCTTGGTACGTCTGTAGCCATCCAGCTATCTTCATTGTTTTTGTGTCTCTTCGGAGTAGGACCCTGGGTATGTATTTGCAAACAAAGTGTTTTATGCTAAACTGCAGCCCTCAAAACACTCAATCGAGTAAATTGCTTGTGAAATAGGTGGGGTCAACAGCGTTTACTGGTGTCTCTTTCTGCTAGACGACCTTACACTAATACTTGCCCATTTTCAAATCCTCATGGTTTTAGCCTCAGACCAGCAAGCCACCCTTGCCGACCGTGGCACAAACTCAGCCTGCTGTTGGCCCCGCTTTTTGCCACCCACAAATGCCTCTGCAGCCAGAAAAATTCCTCCTTCCTATTCCATCTTCCAGCTCCATTGACGCTAATGTGGCTGCAGTACCAACGTCCGCATCTACCAGGAAGGCTACGATACCTGTAGCTTCAGTAGGTTCTTGATTCTGATGATATATTTATAATTACTATGCCTTTGTGATGCACTTTATCTATAGGAAGGTCATCTCTGTATGACCTAGGTCCATGCTTAGCTGGTGCTCAACTGGCTTTAAGCCGAACAGATTTTGTTTATTGAACTCTGTGTCTTTTGGAAATTAAATATAGCGATTTTAATGTCATGTTCGGTTGATTCCGTTGTCGTTTTCAATTAGTTTATGTTTAATAAGGGCTCAATCTTTTATTCGATGGAAAATGGTTCCATACACGCATGGCTAAAGGTAAGCAACAGAGGTATAAATTGAGCTCTTAACGACTGCAGTTACTCTCTCGTAATTTTCAGCTACATTTGTTGCGTTTGTTTTCCTTTTTGGATTCTTAGGTGCCCCAGATACACCCACCGCAGCCGCCACCTGTGACAGCGGTTCCGCCATCAATGAACAGACCTCCGCCAGTTCTTGATGCCTCAAACTTGCGGCCTGTCTCCAAGTTCATTGTCACCCCGGTGGTGCCTGTTCCTCCCCTGCCCGCCCCTGCACTGAGGGAGGGTGGGCCATCTGTCCCGTCCTCGTCGGGTCCACCGCCTCCACCGCTACCGTCTCCGACGCCCCAAGCCCCCGCCGTTATTGGAAACAGATTCACGGTACTTACATGCCCTCTCTAGCGCTCCCTTCGTGTGGCCTCCCTTAAGAACGCTACTAACTTCAAATGTGGTCATTTAGGAATCTTTGTGCCTTGTTTGGCACACTCACTCTCGAAAACTTTGTGCCCAAATAGTTTTTTTATTGACAAAACTCCAGAGTGTGGACGACTTAGAGACACCGCGAAATTTCATTATTATTCGAATCTGAAGAAACACGCCAGCTCATTATGATTACTGATGTGCCTATTTGGAATGCTTAAAAGCGATCTCGAAAAAAGATGTCAATGGCATCCCCTGACCTGGGATTCAAAGGCCACTAATACAATGTACTTTTACTAGGTTAATTCATTGCGGCTGCATATCTTCATGGTTGTCCTTACGTGTAGGTGGTGTCGGTCGAGTCAAGTGGATGCCAACAGAGCTCTGTCGAGCCCACCTCTTCACACCCACAAGCGCCCTCGTCTTCTGTGACGCTTCAACAGACGGCTCCTCCAGATTCAAATATTCAAAAGAAGATTCCCTCTAAATTCACAGTATGTTCCTCTGTTACGTTTGATCCAATAACAATGCGCGCGCAACCTCGGGACATATCCAAACCACTCCGCATATCCAAATTGCATGATTCTTAGCGCCTACTCGATCCCAAGCTCACCTGAGGGACGACGTCTGGAGTCAATAAATGCTCGCCTTTCTTTCAATCATCAGGCATTTATCGTCGATGCACGCCCCTGTTTGGCCAACTGGCGACGGGTCACCAAAAATGTGCACTGCGCTTGGACCCACAGTTTGCCTTTTCCGTCGCACTGTCCCTTTAGTCCATGTTGTCGCTTATTATAGTTCCGGATGTCACGCGAACTGGTAGGCATTACTTTTGAACCAGCTTGGCAGTTTTCGAAAAGCCATTCAGCAATGGATCCTTTACATGTTAATCGGCAAGTGTGGTATTTGCCCAAGAATCGTATTTCGTCGTCGTCATATCGTCGCCTTTTCTCCAATCTGGAGTGTCCACTTTCGCTCACAATGAGGGACATTGTGGTTTTGGTTGCGCACTCCATTGATTTTTATACCTTACCCAGACGACAACTTCTGGCTCCGAGTCAGTTCTGTTTTCTCCTTGGGAGCTTACTCGTGGTCAGGAATCACATAGTCCACTCAGTGTAGCCGCGTATCTCCCAACGAGAGAACTCACCACTCACCTGGTTGTTTTTGTGTGCCACTACGTGTCACCAAGTGATTGGAGTGATGCACACAATGTTTGTGGTGGTGGTGGTGTTACTGTCAAGTTATTCGGTTTCATTAATCCTCAATGCCAAATTTACACATTTTGCCGAAGGTTGAGCGTCAAGTGCAAAGAGCCCATGCGTAATTTAGTAATGCAAACGCAATTTGTATTTATGCGGTTCTCCTTAGCTCCACTGTTTACTTATTGGCGCCTGTGTACAAGATGGCTCACTTCCTGTTTCAGGTGAAACCAGCGCCCGAGGCAAAGTGAAAGCAATTCGTTGCGTCCTCAAGAAGACCGTCACCGAACTCTGCTTCCTGCGCCTCTCCGCCTCCTTCTCTTTTCAACTCGTTTTTTTCTTAATTGCATGCTTCGCTCCGTATTACTACCAGAGCTGGCAATTTCGTTTTCTCAGCGTAGTTGCTGTTTTTACTACAGATGATGGCGCCTAAATAGATCTAACCGGTGGCTGGGCTAACCTCCCAATTTACTGACTGCACCTCGGCCGCGCGTATTCTGTGAGCACTAAGCAATGCGATGCAGACTTGCACTCTGAAGCACTTTATCGAGCGGTTGCAGATATAATTGGCCGAATTCGAGAAAAGTCAATTCAATCAAAGGATACTTTTTTGCTGCTATTCAAAAAAGATCATTGAGTCGCGTGCTCCGAGTGTGGAGCATCTAACGTGGAGCAAAACCCTTCAACAACTGCGGAACCTGCACGGTTAATTTTTGAGTCTAGCTACACTTAACATCCTGCTAGATATCCCAAAAAAAAACTTGTACCTTGGTCGTCATCTAGGAATGCTTAAGTTGTGTCCTTGCAGGCTACGATTGCTTGAGCAGGAGCAAAGCTTCGGCCACAATGTATATCATTATGTCTGTCAGACCTGCAATTCAGACTAACGCCCACAAGGTCGCACTTGCACATCGTGAAGAACCTTCCTGATTGTTAGCATAGCGAAGCTCATCCCCTTCAACTCTTCCCACTCGGTTCTTATATTTTGCCAACGCATGAACAGCAGCAGTCTATTCCTCTTTAACACACTGAGTGATTCCTTCGTTTATAGCGGGTTTCTCACGTGCTCTTGTGCACCTGTAGTACCCTGTGCAGCATTACCTACACCGATGCGTCACGGGTAAGGCGGGTTGGCTCGTTTTCCGCATGTCCAAACATGGAGACGAAATAATTTGCCCGACTAGGATGTAAGTGAAGCCCTTTCAGGCAACGGTCGAGATAGTCGAATAACTTTTCCAGCTTGATGTCTTATAGGGACTGAAAAAGGATGTCGATTTGCGAACAGGCATTTATTTTAAACTAGGATCACGTAGGACAAAACAAGTCGCCTGAAATTGGTTTTGACGATACGTGCAGGACCTGAAACTAAACAAGTGGTTCAAGTTAAGTTATCGTTAATCCTAAGCTGATGTAATGAGCACATCGCAAACCAACATTTATTCCATTCCTATTGGTCGAAAAAACGGGGAGACACGAGGAACAGTTGTCGTCCTCAAGTAGGTGGGCTTTTTCAATGTTCGTAGTGAATTCGCGGTAGTTCTGCAACGTCGATTAACGTGTTAGTGGCTTAACAACGATTGCTGAGGAAGGCCAATGTTAGCGTAGACACTAATGGCAACTAATTTATTTGATGGAATCAACCGCTCTCATTTTCTTAACAGAAGGAAGTGTATGTACTGTACCTTGAAATGCGTCCTGTTGATTTGGAACCAGTTTCGCAACAGCAGAACCCATGTGGAACCTAAGATCAACCCTGTCAATCGTCTTGTTTTAGTATTTCGATAACAGAAGTAATGAACGATACCTTTGTGCATAGCAAATGCGATTGGAGGCGGGTAAATCCAAAGTTTCCCCAGAGCCAGTGCAAAGTCTTCTTTCCACAATTCTGGGTTGAATCCCCGTCTATATATAGAATACACAAGTAATCGTTAGCTAGCCCGACTCGTCCAGTGCAACGACCTCTTCGGGGCCCTCCCGTCACCGCCACGCTAACTCGTGTTTAGTAGACAGCGCGTCGAAACACGCGACACCCTGCCAACCGGGGCTTTAAATAACTAATGCGGCTTGCGATAGGGGACAAAGTGCATGGAAAGTGAAGTTGCACTTTTTAAAACAACCATCGCTCCACTGTTGCACATCACAAGGACGATGTAGGTAGAAAATTACTGAGGCCCTGTCTTGGTAGCGTTGTTTGGAACGAGTGCAAAAGAACGTAGTTGAAGATAATACAAAAACATCTTAAACGAATTTCAGCAAATAGAATGGGTTTAATTGCAATAGATGCAGGGACTCCGTTTGCATAATCTGGAGAACTCAATAGAACACTCCTACAACATAATTTTCGGTGCTCTGTCTCTTAGTAAACATGCTCAAAACGATTAGAATCTGCATAATTTATCGGTGTAGCCTAATAATAATGGTGAAAGAAGAGATTTGCCCCACAACCGACAACAATGTCAATTACGATATCGTCGCGTGAAATTTCCAGTGCAACTTGAAACGGTAAGAAGACAATGCACGACCGACCGTGAAAGTTCCTTTTTCCCTTAACAAAAGGACTGAGATCTGATGATTCATCGATGAAGATTTTATGTGGCTCAGATGATTACTACTGCTAACCACTTGAACAAGACAGGTACTCAATATATAAACAGCTAAACATCTATTTTCAATATAATTATGCGTGCCTATACGGTTTTAAACTATTTGCGTTACATGATGAGGTAATTTACTTTTCATTGAATCAAGTAAACCAGAAAACGGTAATTGTAGTGAAACAAGTTCCTTAAAAGCCACCCCACGCAAGTAACGGGTCTTGATTAGTGTTTACTAGTCTAAACCATGGTCACTAGAAACTTACCTCGAGCGAAAACCATAGCAGTGAAAGCGGAAAATAACAATGAAGGAACACTTTTTGTTGGGATGGTAGTAGCGCAGAACAAGCTCCTGTTGGCCTTCCTTTGACAGTTGGAGGGCTTCGAGTGTTTTCAAAATGCAGATCCGAACTGTTTCAACACACGACACCTTGAGACAAGAAAATCTCCCAAGGCTACACACTGTTCATCAACAAATTGTCAGTTATGTTTTTTTGGAATAATTCTCTTACGCTCTCTCTTTCCTCAGGCATATTTTTGCGTTATTTGCCATTTAAATGTTGACCATATTTGCTAAATTATGCCTTCATTTATCGTTGCTAATAAGATTAGTCTGCTTGGCGTGGATCTTAGCTTCGATAAAGAAATCCACAAACGACATAAACGCAATGCGAACTCCAGATGCAGAGCGCTTGGTTGGTGAGGTTAGGATAAGTCGTTGTGAGTCACTCGGTAGGCTGCTCTAGGGCACGATAAAATAGTCCGAGTCCCACACGACGCCTACGATAGTTCTGGTACACACTTTAAGGAGTTCGGATTTCCTGTCATACGAAGTTTATTTATGCAAAAGTACACGACCACCAACTAACACTTAAAATTCACTGGTACTAAGAGCCTTCGCGTCGGTAAAATTGGGCTCCGAATGTAGTGGAAGCGGAAATCCCCTATCTGTTATTTTTTTCATTTCGTAAAACTGAGTATTGCGCATCACTCAATGCTTTATACTTAAAGATAATGCCGAAGGTCTAGTACTTTAGGGTCCCTTAAATTCATTCAGAAATGGTTGTCAGTGTACAGTAGCATAGAATGACCCTGTTGTCAGAGACCGATATCAAAAGTTTGCGGGACAAGACAGCAAATAACAATGAAGTAACCAACAACCCATTCGCAAACCGATTCGATTGATGAGAGTGGTTATTCCTTTGGTCACCAGAAATCCGGAAGTTTGATATTCTGGAAACAATTACCTTAACCGGAGTTCCAAATACAAAGGCTGATCTAAAAGTATCCGACGGATAGGCACCCAACTGAAATAGAATAACACATATGGCTGCGTACAGGAACTCCTTCACTACATGAAATCCTTAAAATGCTGGTTAAACAAATCAGTAACATACCTAGTAAAAGCCTGTCTTGCATTTGTTGCATTTAAGAGCAAGAACCAATAAGACTGATTCACGAGATTGGGTGTAGTTGGCAACTATGATATCCTGCTGCAAGGTACACTGATAAAAGGAGATGACTGGTCAAATCCCCAGGCGAAATGGTGAAATTGGAGGGCTTGTACTAGAGTTGTGTGGTTGTCTCAATTACCAGTAGTTATTTGGTTCTTTTGTGGTAACACTGTGCTCGTGAAAAAGCGATATCTAACAGTCTCGGGAACACTTATCCGGTTTTCGGTTGATACCCGATTATGTCCAGATTGGTCTCCGAATATAAGGTACAACTTTGGTTAACAAATCTCCAAATCCCTCGCGTGACTTTGCAGTAACTTCCTGGAATAGCAATCTAAACCACTAACCGGATCTGTGTAAAGAAATTACAAACCCCATTTTAGACGAGTGCTTAAAATGTGGCAGTCTACACATAACATCAACAGTGTCAACTAAAAAAGACGATCATGATAAGAAAATATATTCAAAAACAATATACACACACGACGCCATATCATGCAATAACATAAAAAATTAACCCCAAGCCTGAGTTTTGCAGTATTGCAAGATGAGCGTCCCATCAGCGCTGAATGAGTCAAAGAGGGTGCCAATTTCGGTATCTAGCGGAGGCGCAAAACTGCTTGCCACATAAATAAAGAGGTTGTCCTGTGACTGACCGAGACCAAGGTATCTCCGCAGAAATATCGTCAAATTTATCACGGTATCATTCCGCTTAATTGCCCACCTCGACTTTTTCATGCGGGGTGCGTCGCCAACAGCCTTAAACAATACATCAACTTTGATTGAATGCTTTGGTAATGAATGGAGGTCCTCCACGCGCTGATTGCCAAAATTGGCTTCTTCGGCCATTATTTTCCTCGTTAACACAAAAATATGGTGTAACAAGACCGATGAAGGTAGAAAAACTCGAAAGGGCTAGAGCCAATGCAGAGTTGTGCAAAGTCAGGTCAAGTCGACATAGCTTTCACCTATAAGTTCCAATTCACTTAAACATAACCTTCTTAGAGTATCAATGAAAGTCACAAGCATTTAAATCACGCAAATTGTTTTTAAATATCATAAATTACCTATGGCTAAAGTCATTCTAAGAAAAAAATTCAACTGAAGAAGACTTTGGTGCAAGGTTGATAATTAGCTATTTCAAGGTTGCATTGGTGCCCAAACAGGAATGCGCGTATTTTGCCTCTTGTCTGCTCTGGTGCTTCCACTAGTTATTTGTGATCGTTTCGAAGAAGAATTGCTTGTTAAAGATTTTGGCAATGGGTTTTCTGGATTTCACTTCAATTTTGTTACTCAAAAGAAGTTGGGGGATGGTAAATATTTTTCAAGTATTTCTTCTCTTGCCTATAGATCACCACTTCCACATATTTCCAAAACCTCTGTATAACATCCTTACGAAGTACAGCGTTAGTGAGTTTCACTTGTCTATGGTAAAAGGTCATTGGGACCGACTGAAGTGGGGCCCTCCATTCGTTCCAAGTGCATCCGGTGGGGCTGAAATATGGGCTTGGTTTTCTCCCACTACTTCAAAGTACCTGTTTATCTTTAATCTTCTGTTTTTCTTAGCGTTGATGCATCCTGGACGTACTTCCTTGAGGCGTTGTCGGGCCAGTTTTGTGCTTCATTAAGTCAACTTGGTTTACCCAAAAATTACATTTCACCGTCGCTATCGCACCGCCCTTCAGGACTCTTCCAAAAAATCACCTCCCAGAATGTATCCAGTGTCTTCCGGTATGCTCAATTTTCCCATGAAGAAGTGTGTACGGAGAATCTCACTCCGTGGTCAAAACTTTTGCCGTGCAAGAAAATAGGTGGTCTAGCTAGCATGCTCAAACCTAAGTCAATCTTCAAGGCCACTTACAGCGCATTGTTCACCGACGTTCGATGTGTCTGCACGGTAACTCATCCAGCCACGCTTAATTTTTAGGATGATAAATGCAAGCAGTTTTCATTAGAATTGAAGCAGTCTCTGACAATCGTCTTTGATCGTCGCCATATGTATGGTTCCATTCAAGGTAACGGCAGCGTTTTGAGTTCCAAAAATGGCGAACACCTCTAATCATTTTTCTCAATTTTAGAACCCTGGTCTTTAATCGGTCTTCTGGGTGATGAAATGACCAAATCATGTCCAGTCGCATCTCGAAGCGAGATAATTATTCTTAGTTCCCAACCCCAGCTTCTACTGGATCCGCCTGCTGATGTGACTTCCATAGTCAATTGGGATGTTCGCCGCGTTCTTGCTGTATATTCTCCGTCCTACAATTTCGCTAATAACCTCACCATAACATCTTTCCTTCCCATCGAAACCCCCCGTTCGTCGACAGTAAATGAAGAAGGCGTTTCGGTCATGAAATACTCAACAGGAAAGGGGGACGTAGGCGGAGGAGTGAGAGTCGAATTGCGTAACAATCTTGCTGTTCCAGTGCCAGTTGTCCTCCTCGACTCCGCTCCTTGGTACGCTGAAATTTACTTCAGCAGTCTCACTATAACTCGACAGTATCCGGATGGTAGTGCTCCTGTTGTAATTACTCCAGGTATTTTAAACTTGTCTATTATCCTGTTTGTGATTTACCCCTGGTGTTTACAATTAGCGAGTTCCCTTTCTCAAGTTAAATTGAAAATGTTAATGCCTTTAAACAATGATCCGTCCACTTTTGTGAAGCTTGTAAAGTTGGCAAATCAAAATTCCAATGGATCGCCATTCAAGTTAATTCTAACCTTCTTCCGTCATAGTTACGGCCTTTCGGTGTTTTATAATGTTTGCACACTCGAAACTGGGATTTGATATAAAGAGCAGATTTTGTTTAAGCCAGTAATATTGGCGATTTGTCACAAGGTGGTAGATTTTATCAGTACCTTGCCTCACAATATTGCTCATATCCAGCTCCAACTTAGCAGTCTGAGAATCAAAAATCGGCCGGTTGCTCGATAATTATTCCATATGGCACCTCTGTCTATTCATCGAATTCGCAATAAGTTCGATGGTTATCGGCATTTAAAATGGGAGTTTAAAAAGTAATGTGCTAGAGTTTGTATTACCTTATGTGCATTGGTAGCATCATAACAACTCATTAATATTTTGTGGGAATCTAAGCACATTTGAAAAACAAAGGTCGTTAGTAGCCACATTTGTTTTCATAATAATGAGTAGAGACCGTAAAATCTGCAGTACTGTCTGTCGATTGCAAATGGCTTGTTTCCATAAGCCATGACTTTGTATTTGCGATTTCATTTTTAGCTATTTTGGGGTAAATATTTTTTAGACTGAAATTGAAATGCATAATTGTTATTTTTGGGTTCGATTTTTTGCTTTTTGCATATTCTCTATTAGCCAGATTATCCTCTTGAAATGCGCACAAATGCAGTTAGCGATTGTGATTGTCATCATTATTTTCAAATACACGACACTCCAGGCAGATTACGTAAGCTGCTACAGCGCACCTGATGGTCATCCAAGTTATCAAATTGCCGCCATGCTTAAATTTACATGCCTTGGTAAATTTCTTATGCTGAAAATCGCCGTGTGCCAAGGATCGGTTTTGATGCTTTCTAACATCGCCTCATCGCTGATGCACGTGCTTCATCAGATGGACAATGCACAATCTGCTACCTGTGAGCGAAAGTTAACCTTTCTGATCAGTTGAATTACGAGAGATTATCAGAATTATAGGCGTCATCTTACAGTTTACAGTCTTGTTTTATCGTAGAGCTGTCTTGAATTATTAGTTATCCTCCGAATATCCCTGGAAAAATTTGCCTTAACAGTGCATTTCGTTTTGGTGGTCGTATTCATATGTCTAGTTTGTGGGAAAATTTATGTGATCCACGTTTTTGTCAGGTATCAATCTTCGCTTATCCGTGATATGTATTAAAGTTGCAACTCGAAGTTACATCCTGGACAGTCCTTTATTTGTGCGTTAGTATCGTAAAAATTATCGCTTTCAAGCAATCAGTCAAGTATATTCGCATCATCTCCATGATGCATCTTGCACATCTATTTTTGTAAACATCTCTCTGGATTTATCACAGGTTCCAATTTTGAATCAAACCTGAGCCACACTTCCTACTTGTGAGCAAGTCTCCATTACCCATGCAAGTGTTTTTTTTTTCAACTCAAATTTTCCTCCGTAGAATTTTAGTTTATTGGTCAATCGTGGGTTTGACAAAATGTAAATGTGTCATTTCATATTTTCATAGACAAGGTGACCTTCCAGCCGAGCGTCCGGCGTAAGCAGATGGCTTTCTTAGAGCTTCTTCTCACACTACCTCCCGGTGCATGCGTCACGGTCTCTTATGCCTTCACAAAGGTTCTCATGCGCTGGAACGAATATCTGCCTGACGCAAACCATGGTGTCTACCTGCCTGCCGCCAGTGTTGTCTATCAGTTTTCCCCCGAGCAACTCGATAGACTGCGGGCCAGCAGAAATCCAGTGACCTGGGAACTGGCGCTCCCTCTTTGGGCCAGTACTTACGCTGAATATCTGTGAGTTCTGTTCTTTTAGTCTTTTTCGTGCAAAGGTATGCAGAGTTTGTATCTCCAATTAATCAAGTGGGTCCTGTTAGTGATTTTGGCTTTTGTCGACGATTCATTATGCAGTCTAGTTTGTGCGTTTCATGTGCTTGTGAGAACTAATTTTTGTTGCTTGTGTAAAATGAATTTTCGAGCACTTGTATTTCTTTCGAATCTGCTCAAATTTTCTGAAATGCCCTTTTTTACGTGGCTAAGGCGCTTCAAAATAGCAACTTTTTTTCGTCTTAGGTATTCTATTATGGGCTCTTGTCGGAGACGTCAGTGCGTAGCCCTCAGGTCTACTTTATCTCACAGTGATTCGCATTAATTGTTACATATTTACAAACGATTAGTTTCTCCGATGCTGTTTTACGTTGAAATTCAAATAGCAGGTTAGATTTTATTCACAAGTCCTATTTGACTCCTACGCAAAGCTAGTAATCGCTTACAGTACTTTCAAGTCGCGAATTTTTCAGGGTTGCTAATACCTTTTTGGAAACTTCGCTCAGTTTAATAAATAAAATTGACTTATAGCCATGAATTAGTGGTGGGATTTTTTTGTTGTTTAAGCTCCGCAGCGAATACCTCAAGGCAAGGCACAAAGCCGTTGGGCGACGGCCTCTTGCGCCTCTATTCCGAGGCCCTGCTCATTCGCCTCCCCGTCCCCGATTTCAGCATGCCTTTCAACGCCCTGTGTCTGGTGTGTTCTGTGGTTGCCATACTCTTTGGCAGCATACACAAACTAACCACCTGCGGCTTGGTGCCTGTCGTCGCCGAAGGGGACGAGGACGTGGTCGACAAACCGCCTATCGTTCGTTTATTCCAAAAACTAAAAATCCTCTTTCAACGCCTGCACAGACGAAGCCATTTGAAAAATGAGTAGTCGGGAGGACTGTTGGCCTTCACCCGACTGTATTCACGCAGTGCGCACTTTTCCTGGATAAATCTTCGAGCAATTAAATCTTTTCCTCAAGACCATCCGAGCTTTCGAACGAGGGCATTTGACTCGGAATTTGGGGTTCGTGTGTTAACGTCGTGGGTAATATGGATGGTTGTTGCCGAATTATTCGGTTAACATTACTAAATCCAAGATAATTTGCCACTGCTTTTCTAGTCGGTTATGACCAGCAAAGTTTTGCGTTGGTTGAATCTTAAGATGTAGTGTATGGGGATCTCATTTCAACTCACGAGTCTTAAGGTTTAAAATCAATGTTACATTTCTACTCAATATTTTAATTTGAGACCTACCTGATTCTGTAGTGGACTGACAGCCACCTCGCGTGAGTGATGCTTGCATGAGGGCCCAAATGGACCAATGACTCACGCCTTTTGTTATTGGCCTGTCAGCATTCGCCTGTTACGCACGCGTACTCATACGCACACGAAGCCACTTGGCTGGTTCAACTCTAATAAACGGTCGTGTTCTCTGTCGCCTCCTTTCCCCCTCTCCTCGGGTAGTTACGGGCCGTTAACTAGAGGGTTGTAAGGCAGTGCTAAGATCAAGCTACTACAATTCCACTTCGCAGGTTATGAATCGATTGATATGCTCGCTGTCTCGCGAATATTGCGAAGGAATGCCCTACCTACCACCGTGTAGGTATGCATAACGAAGTAGGAAGTTCACAACATTTCGGAATGCGTCGGAGACCAAATGTGGTAACTCCTGGTACCAGTTATCTGTGTGAAGCGTTATTTCAAGCAGGATTTCAGTGTCAGAATTGCATAGGCAGCCAATGGAGTTCTGTCTGGTTAAAACTGTCCTAGGTTGTTATTTTCTATGCGCGGTGAACTCGTCTAATCACCTCTTATCCACCAATCGAAGTTTTGTGAAATACCACTAAACTTCTTTAAAATATCCAATTCTCAAAGCTTCGTGTCTGCAAATTGTGAAATGACTCAATGCTCACTTCGCAGTGTTGCTTTTTGAAGCTATGTTGCTCCGCTTACGCCGGGAAAATCGTACTTTGCCAGTCGATCTTGGCACGGTCAGTCAGCCAAGTCCACCAACACGCAAGCTAGCATGCACGCATTAGAGTCTCGGCGACAGCCGTTGCTGGTGACAGGTCCATTAGTCTCATGCATTCGAGTACAAAACAGAACATCAAGAGCAACCTGACTAATTCATCCATCCTAATTCAGGTTTGATTGTCTCAATCAGTATCAGCTCAATGAACTTGGTGCCTCATTTCGAACAAAGTGCGTCAGTGATGTGAGTCACAAAGTTTCTTTAAAACACCGATGGCGCCGTAAGCAACAATGGCAGGTCCCCTTAAGAGGCATACGAAATTATGCTAGCTTCAGACATTTCATTCGAATAAGTTGATATCAGAAATTTTCTTGAAAAAAAATGTGATTTTGTGCACGATTGTGTAAGAAATGTCAAGTTTGATCGAAATCATGGGCTGTGTGCTTGCAACAGAATGCGGTCTTTTTAATGTGCGGGTAAATTGCATCTTTCTCACCACCTGGTGCCCTGTCGATGCCACCCTAGTGTTTACTCCTTCGTTCCTGGGTGAATCTCGTGTCAGAGCCTTGCAAGTAGAGAAAAGACATAACAGGCGGAGAGAAGCTGTGGTGGGTGGTCATGGTCATGCCATCGACTACGGACTCAGAATTAGCCCTTTCAACCGGACCGGCATCTGATCATGCCTCTCATCCACGACTTGGCTTGGACACACCAATTGGCTCGCGAGAACATCCGCGCTACTTGTGAATTTAAGCAACAGTCCAATCGCCATTCCCCCATTCCTTTTCTCTTCTAATTAAGACGATGAATTGGTAGTTCAAGCTTTCACTAGGTCCCAATACGCTCCTTCAGATTGACTCCGAAGAAGCTGAATCCATTCTACACAATAGCGTAGCAAAATTAGCCGCTGCTGTTCCAGGACCCCTTCTATTCACTCACACAACAGGCAAAGATGAACGAAATGATCGAGGTTACCGTTAAGTAGTATTTGATAATTTTTTGTACAGAATCTCATTTCTTTTCATTCGACACAAGCTGGAATGTCATCTTAGGTTGCTGTTATCAATGCCCTAAGAATTGATAACTTCGATGAAAATAACAATGAAAGTAGACTCTTGTTGATGGAGTCCAATCTCCTTCCCTCCTCCAGTCCACCCAACTACCATTTTTGTTATCTTATTCAACGAGATACCCGAGAATTGCTACGGCTGATGTTACGGTTTGATGGACTGCTTCGAGGTGTTGTTACGTAAGTAGGCTTCAGGATAGAAGTGGGAAAGCTGATTAAGTAGCTGTAAAAAAACAATGAATGAGTGCCTCTTAAATGGTACTCATCTCTCCGGTCACAAATAAAAGTTGTTCTTCATGCTATCATCATGAGCGATTCCTGTGACCTCCGTCGGATGGACATATTCACTGCATATTTGGACAAAAATGATTTAACCATCGATCCTTTGAGTTGATATTGGAAGAGCTTGGCACAGTGGGTGATAAGAAAATGCCATTTACCTTACTTTCGGAGCTAGATGAGCTCGAAAGCACTAGAAAGTGATTCAAATATGTCCTATTATCAAGACTCGACCGTCAAAATTAGGGCTGTTAGGATTTCGTCAAAGAAGCAGAATCTAAGTAAATCCGACAAGCCTTAAGATATTTCAAACGTATCTGTCCGAGCAAGCATCGCCGGCCAGGAGGGGACCCTGAAGAGGTCCAGCCAATGTGATTCCATCGACCGGGCTGTTGAAACGATGCCTCCAATCAAGCCCGTAAAAGGTAGCCGATGCACAAACACAATTATAAAACATAACAGTCCAGAAATCTTCGAAAACGCTTAAAAATAGATTGGAGTCTCAAGAAACCAGAACAATTCCTGGTCCATTCACCCCCTCACTGCTCCGTACTCAGAGGGAGACAGCAACGTTTTATTCCTTTCGCATAAGACTAACAAGAGCGCAAAATGAAGCATCGGGAAGAATGTAACATTGGAGCAGCCGAATAATCCCCGACCGAAATTTGGACCTTCCCTCCTTTCAAGAGTGCGCTAAAATCTGAACTCCCACCCTTTTTGTTTTCCGATACCCCAATTCGCTGGGAGACTATCACACAAACCACAATTTTGTCTTGTGTCGAGATTAGTTTAAACAATCCCAGCACTTTCATCTAATGCGCGCACTAAATTAGGCACATATATATCTAGAGTACTAGTATTGGATAAATTGTGCTTAAGAACTCAGACTATTCTCTCGACTACTTGTTGCTCCATTTTCGTACTGTTCACAGGCGCGAGCATCCCCAACATATGTGGGAAGTCAGATGATTCCTCGTATTCTTCAGGCACCAGGTACTACTAACTGGGAGACACGATACAATCATGCTCAATAGCTAGATTTTTTCAGAAGACATACTTTCCCCACAATCTTTAATCAACAAGAAGTGAATAAATTGTTAGCAGACTTTTAGTAAAAGTAGTTCATGATGAAATCACTTTCAAAATACCTTAAATATACGAGTAAGAATTTACTGATGCGTGCAGACGATTCTAATGGTTGTCTGACTTATCGAGTAATTTCGATTTTAGCGTCTGGAGTCGGTTGAGAATGGCAGTGAATCCAAAAAGGCCTCTGCAACCTCCGAATGGATCATTCATTCGCAATCCATTTTTAGCGGAATTCATTTTACATATCTGTACGTAATCTTCGTACTGCTCTACAAAATTGTGCTTGACAATTTCAAATATATCATCAGGGAAGGCAATTCTGCGCTCCAATACATCGCACACGGCACAACGAAGGGTCTCATGCTTGATAATTTCATTGTATGTGGCAGACGCTTTGGGTTCGCGCCGATTCTCGAATCCCGGTTCATTGTAGTAGGGTTCGGAGTTCATTAGGGATTGAATGGAGACCAGAACAGTGGATAGATTTTGTGTTGGCGTCCATTGAGGACCGCTCCAAGTGCCAATAATGCTAAGGCAAACCTAAAGAGAGCATGATACGGCAAAGTACTTCCCGGCGACTTGGCAATGTCAAATGGAGCCTTCGTGTAGTGGGTGAATGATCAGGCATTAACATCGAGCCCGAATATTTTAGAGACCAGCAACAAAATAGCCAGGTTACTTGACATATGAAGATTAGTTGGTACATTATAACCAGGAGAAGATGACTGGCGATCAAACGTGGAAAATCTTTACGGTAGCTGATTATAGAGGCCCTACTATCCGTCCCTAAATCGAGCCATTTGCTTTTAGAAAGCCATGAATGATTAAAAAAGGCAATGGTTTCGAGTTATGTTGAACAGAAGTAAATTTCAGTGTGCCGAGAACTGAAGCAGGCTACATTATTAGGGGGCACCACAATCACGACGAAATGGGAAACTCATTTTAAATTTATCCAATCGCATCAATATTTCAACAAAAGAAATCCTAATCGGAACAAAACAGACGAAAGCAACCAGGAGCCCAGATAAAAGCGCAACACTCGACCAAACTATCTTAACAGCAGAGTAGTCAGTCATTTACAAACGAAAATCACGTGGGATTGCAACTAATTCAACTTATGTTAAATAATGTAAGCTAGTCACTAACATTTTACGATTACAGTGTCAATTAAAGGAAAGTAGACCAGCTTAAGACAAAGTTATATTGTAGCTGAACGACACGGTCTGATTAGTTTGCAGAGGCGGTGATACCTAAAGTATCAGAATAATTGGCTGTATATATTTGCTCATGGTGACAATGTAAGAAATTATTACCCAAAATACCTCTCAAGGAATAATTTTTCCCAGACATTGGTGAAGGAAATGATGACGAAATCCAAAGACAAAACCTGAATCACACTTTAAATGATAAAAATTGCTCATCAGAAAGAAGTACTAAATTGTTACATAGCGAATGGAGAAAAACAGAAATGGTAATAATCAAGTAGAATTCACAAATTAGGAAGCATACGTGCTGAATATTCTAAATCGAACAGCTAGAGCTATCAAGAGAACAAGATATCAACAGGATCCACTATGAGGGTACATAAACTAGGATTGTTGAAGCAGTAGGCATTTTAAGAAAAGTAGGATTCTTCAAAATTGAGCTGCAAGTATTTTTAAAAAAAAAACAAATCGTACAAGTCAGAAGTGATGACAACTACATGAAATGGTCAAGATAACCTATTAGGTAAAAAAACTAACCTTCCCGTTTGCATAGAGATTCGGGCCGAATCTTACTGTCCCACCATCCGTGTTCAAAATCTTCACCCGAGGTGGGCTTAGAGGGTAATCGTTTGGAAAAGCAATCAGAAAAAGAAAAAAGCCGCCCTCATAGGGCGTGTCAGGGGGACCGCTAATTAAAGCAAATATTCTTCCAAGATCATCTCCAGATGGGGCAACACAAATACCTTGTGGGGGATCACTAAAACAAACAACTATGTATTTGCAGTAATTTTACAGGTAGAATTTTTTCAAATCCATTTTAATACGAATCAGCGCAGTAGGTGACAAGTCCCCGCCTCTCTGAAATCGAGTGGGGTCCCAATCTGATACCGAGGCACTTTCACCGAAAGACATTCCGAAGAATGCGGCAGCGAAAACGAAACAAATTTCTCGCTAAATCCACAAATACTTAAAACAAAAGACATCCAATTCAAGAGAAAGAAGGACCAATTTTGCCTCTAATAGAGTAGAAAAATCTATTTGAACGTTTTACTCCGAAAAATTTATCTTAGTACTTGATTAGTAATATTTCATGAAGACTTGTCGAAAGACTTAAGATTATAAATTGAATATATTTCGTGTCAACGAAATAAACAACTCTTAAAACGATTTCTAGAACTTAGTTTCTATCTGTAGAAATTATTTTATTTTATGTTTAACGAAGCTCTTGATTTTCCTAGTAGCCAGATGTTTGATATTTTGGGTAAGAGTAAAATTGGTAGGTTGTGTGCTACACCAAATTTTTTAAGTAGCGCATTGATTGGCAATTGATAGCTACGGACATTGGTCTTTTGAAACGTGCATTTTAAGCTGATGTGGCATTTAATGATTATGGATGACGTCGAATTGATCTAAGTGCAATACAGCACGAAACATCTGCAATCATTTGACTAATATTGGTACTTCATGCAGAGCCCTCCGAAGGTTGCCTAGCTGCTTACTTAAACTGTACGTAAATTCCATGTAGTCCGAAAATTCATAGCAAACCAGTACCGCATGGATCAGCGTAACACCAAGCGACTTCTCTACGGCGCATATACTTGAGGTCCATTTACTTTCGACTTTAATTATATAGAATATATAGATTTGAACACTTGCTTCTTGGTCAAGTGCAAAGTTTGCAGACCGGATGACTTAACGCTACCCCAGTGATTAAATCAACTGATGCCAACGAAAACGCCGTCAAGAGATCCAATTGCATTTGTCGTCATGGATTGAAGAACAATCTGACAACACTTAAATCACGCTGGCGTTCCGGATGAATCTACATCACCAGCACCACAAAACCTCCCAAAAGGAACAAAACACCTCCAGGAACTACACTGGTGACTTCAATCCATAATTGGCACAACGAATGCCCACACAACGTTGTAACTATTATTCGGTATGAGAAGTTATTGTTTACCACAAAATAGGCTTCGTTTATTTCCTTTGAATAAAATGGAATGATTCTCAATTACTAGTACAACGAGAAATACAAAAATAACCGGTGCGACTTCTAGATTTGTTGAAATGCGGCATATTTTGTTCTCTAGACAGCCATTTGCATGGCAATCTTCGGGTGTGGATCATAACCGACTAATTCAAAATCTTCCGCTACGAAATCATCAATCTCTTTTATCTCTCTTTTGATAATCAGCTTCGGAAAGGGCCTTGGCTTCCGCTTAATCTAAAAGTAGGGAAGCGTTTAGATGCGTTAATTAACGAGATAAAATTGTATTCAATCCAAAAACTGAAACATCAAAATGAAAATGCTTGTCTGAACCAAAAATATGTTGAATCTGGTGGTGAATTTAGAATGGGAAGACATGAACAAACCAATGTATGATCTGGAAATTACTTTGATATATAATTATTCATAAGAACACTATTTGGCTTTATCGAAATAAGAAATGCAATAGAGCACCACTAAATCTCACTCAGATGCCCGTACAACCGACTTTTCATTTGTAACCCGGTGAAGCATAAAATGGAATTTTTTGGGAAATTCCAAAAGCAGCTAGGAAACGATTCAAATAATTTGCTGAATTAGCTGAGCTTCGTTACCACACATTTGACCATCATACAAAGCAAACTTTTAAAGCGCTGGAAAAAAATCTATTTCAGTTTGATCTACTGGTTTCGGATTTAGATGCGACATTGCAAAAAAAGAAAACGTACCTGAATCTCAAGTGCTTCCTTGTGGTTTGTGTAGACGTGACAGTCGCCAATAGTGTGCACAAATTCGCCAGGTTTCAATTTAGTGACATGAGCAATCATCAGCGTAAGTAGGGCGTAGCTCGCGATATTAAAAGGAACACCCAGACCCTATGAACGGTTAATGCAAACCATGAAGAGCCAAGAACTCATTGCTCCAAGCAATACAGAAGTTCATTGCTTTATTCAAACGAACTGTGGTGGCCAAAAAAACATGATAAACTCAAACAATTTGCAAAGATGAACCATAGAACTCATCATGGATTGGAATCAAAGGCAAAACCAAATACTCGATAAATTAAAAATCGTAAATACATGACCACGATGCGAAAACTTTAAGACTGATGAGGACACTAGATCATTTAAACTATGTGAATTTCAGCATTTGGGTATAAGTCCTACCGATTCGGAACGAATTTGAAGCATAACGCCGTTAAGGAGCGAGTAATTTACGTTTACTGGCGCATTTTACCGCAATATTAGGGTTTAATTCTGGAGCGAATCTGGATGCCAATGAGTAAACGAATAACTACCAAAACACAATTCCAGGTTAGCACAAAGCCAAAATACAGGAAAGGTAGATAGATGTGCTTAAATCAAATGAAGTTGCGCATACTAAAATAAGCAACGCGATGCACGCCGTCACGACAAGCGTAACACTCTAGTCTACCCTTACTCCCAGTGAAACAACTGTCGAATTGCACACGCCGACCAATAACACTCGTTCTAGCGAATCCCCATGCTCAGTTAAGGGGCTTTCACGCACGTTCCTTCCACTGAACTCAACAATCTAATATGCTTCTGATATCGGATACACTTATTCTCACGTCGTGTGACCAATGGTGGCTTTCGATGATGTAGCTAATGCTGACGGGCGGTCGATTGCAACCACTTGCACGTTTTAGCAAAGTATTGCTAATTTTTAATTAATAACCATTACGCTCAAGGCGTGCTTGTTGTACCACCCCAAAACGTTAACTAGATATTCGAGAAGTCAGGCCGATTACCCCAGCTAACCAACGATTTCCATATCGCAAATATGCTTGGGTAATTACGTGCATTAAGGGGCATCTGTAGATTCCTATCGATTCACATACATGAACTAATTACTTCATATAATCTGTCATAAACCAGATAAATTATGTGCAGAAATCAGACATTTTGTTACATAACGATGCGACACAAGTATTTCTAGTTTCGCATCAAGGTTGGCCATATCGGATTTGATTTTGGTAAAAAAAATGAGCCTACTTAAACGATTTTTCAAGTACTCGGTAATAGCGCCTCAAAAACAAGAATGGTGTGTCGATCAAGATGGGCCATGTTCCTCTCACGTGTGGCTTTTATGTCGAGGAAAAGTACAACATCGTTGCCGAACACTGTTTTTTGGCCTTTAATTCACGTCTATTAAAAAAATTAACTTACCATGTCTCCAGAGCGTTGATACAGCATGCAAGACAATTCGCCGTTCGCCACATAAAACTGAACAAGGCAGTGACAGGGCGGAAGCACCATCTTGTGGAGATCTGGAAATAATAAACGCAATGCGAACCCAAATTGCAATTGGCCATCAGACAAACTAAAATGTGCTACAGACTATTTGTGAGGCCGGTGACTTCACGTCAATTTTAGACGTGTTTTTGTAAAATGGTCAGATGGTCAAAGTAAAAAGCCAAGTGACTGCAATATTTAAAGGTAGGTAGTCAAGAATAAAGTGGTCTTCAAAAAAAAACCTTACTGATGCTGCCAAGGGTCACGCTGATGCCGATCATACAAATTTAGAGGTACATAGGGCGGATCAGCAACAACTTAAAGCTGACGACAGAATACAGAAAAAATGCCGAGCTGACCAGTAGAAGTGTATGCAGAAAGTAAACTAGTTATAAGCCGAAACAACACTGTCAATGGATGAAGAACGAAAACCTAAGCAATGATTCGTTTTGACGTACCCTATCCTAAACTAATCTCCACATTCTTCCTTCTAATGAACTTGAACAACTGCATGCATTAATGACTCAACTTTATACCATTGTATATCTTGCCCAAGTTTTACATAGCATTTCACTTCATACGATGCCACACAAGCGTACCATCATGATAGATAGGAACAATAGTATCCGATACCAGATATTAAACTACGAAATTCCTAAGGGTCCATAAAATTAAATTGGATTTGAACGCCTTATACGTTTTTCGGCCAGAATAGGCTGCAGCAAAGGTATTCAAGAATAGAAACAGAAACGAGCTTAACCGATGTAGTACCTCGTTTCCTACAATCTCAAACGAAAGCAATCGAATTCAGAAGTCATATCCGTCAATTCACCTGCCACCAACGGAACTAACTTACCCCTCGCATTCCAAGCGACGATGAGGATACGGCGATCCCAGGGTCGCTCTCGAATGAGTTTAATGCAATTAGCCAGTTGATCAACTCCTTGGCCTGTATAGTCGGTGTTACAATCAACGTATTCAGCTCCACAGTGACGCCACTGGAACCCGTACACCGGACCAAGGTCACCTGTAAAGTGAGCTTCGCGGTTAGCATCTCCTGCATCAAAATTACTCAGTTCATTTTGCTGTGGGAAACACTAAACTCCAACCTCCTCTCAAACCAAGAATTTATAAGTACCACAACTACTCGCTATATTATACGTAAATGAATTTTAACGAATGAAACAAGTGCTGGAATTTATGTCCTGATAGACGCCACCGTGTGACGAAAGCTGATACAAAGGACACCATAAACTCTACGATGGAAATCGAACACTTTTTCTGTTAACTTAGACACCGGAATATGAACGAATGGGAGCGATTGCTAAATTATGTTCAATGAAAACAACACAGAAAACAAATATAAGCTTGAGAAACAGTGCAATGAGAAAGTGACCCTGTGTTGGTGATTATCCAGAAAAACGGAAATTGATTTCCAAAGCCAGAATTAGTACTGAACAAAGGCTGCTTTACCACCTGTGGAAGAAGTTTAATTTGGGAGTGGTAATAAAATATCTAAGTCTAATTGCATAGTTACGGCTTAATTTCAGTGAATGAAAGAAAAAAATACCTTCATCGCGATCAGTAAACCCAAGTTTGTCAAGGAAAGCCCGTGATCCGTTGGCATCCCAAAACCTCACTTTCTTCGCAGAAAGTTCGTTTGAATTAGTTGAGCCTCGAATGAACCAAAGTAGTTCTTCCATTATACCTCTGAAAAATGTCTGGTATGAAGAAAAAGCAAATAAATAATAGTTTGAATTATATTGCTAATTCCCACAGAGATCTAAGATATGAGAATAATCCACCTGAGTGTATAGGCCTTGAATACAATTCGCATATTATTTTCCATGAAGCCAATCAATACACAAAGGTAAGGAAACGAATAACGTCGCCCCGAACAACCAGGCACGTCCATTGTTGATATGAAGAAGCCTTACGATCATACTCAGGAATATCATAAATAAAAACTACCCAAAAACTACCTATCTAAGCAGGTCACATGCTAAAACGTGGGACGCTACGTTAATCGAAAGCACAACCAATTACCAACTTGCCGCGGACAGTATGTGGAAAAAATTACTTCGCAAGAATAAGCACGGAGGTATAAAACGAGAGTTAAAGTTTACCTGCTTTGTTGTAAGCAATGGGAAATCTCCATTTCGCAGATTAAAACGCATCTGGGGACCAAAAATCGACCACGTTCCTGTTCCCGTCCTGTCGTCACGCAAAACGCCTTCTGTCAAGACTCGTCGAACAAGATTCAGGTACCCTTCCTCGCCATAAATTGTGTCGGTTTGGTAAGGAAATGATTCTTTGTTCTCGCTGTCGGGTTGACTTTGGGGATCGGGCATCCTCTACAAACTACCAAGAGAACCGAATTAAGTAGTATAGTGGTGTGGTGGTGTGGTGTGGCGTCGGATCAGGGCGCAGACATGTTAGACCACCTGGCCGCAGCCAATCCCGTGTCTCTCTGCGATCCAATGGCATGCGGGAAAGGAAGGCAGCCATCCAGAGAAGGACATGGATGAGATGCAGTGTATAATGAGCGGCGTGACCACCGTGGTGGACACGGATAAAAGGTGCCTGACGTGTGGCTCTGGCTTCCGATTGGTCAATAAAGCCTGTTCTGTTGTACCGGTCTTTTACCTATTATGGCTCGGGTATTCTACAGTGGTGTCGGATTAGGGCGCAGACATATTGGACCACACTGACTTCAGCCAATCCTGTGTCCCTCTGCGTTCCAATGGCATGCGAGGAAGATAACCAGCCAACCAGAGAAGGACACGGCTGAGGTGCAGTATATAATGAGCGGAGAGGCCAGCGTGGTGGACTCAGATGGAAGGCACCTCACTTGTGGTTCTGGTTTGTGATTGGTCAATAAAGCCTGTTCTGTTGTACTAGTCTTCTTCCTGTTAGGGCTCGGGGATTCTACAGTGGCGAGGTCTGAGGACTGAGAAGGCTTCAGCCAATCATGTGTCTTTTCGTGTTCTAATGGCATGCGAGGAAAATAAGCAGAGAACCAGAAACTGATATGTCTGAGAAGCAGTATTTAATGAGAGGCGCAGATATTTTGGTTGTCTCAATTTGGCGTCATTTAATTTACTGTTCTGGCACGTACCATTTCAGTCAAGTCAACGATTTTATGTCTTTCATCTTTAAAAGCGATCCAGATTTTCAAAAAGGTTTTGACTGCAAACAGACGAGGGCATGTCATGGGCTAAGTCAATGATTTGCCTGCGCATTAGATGGTCTAATACGAAGATTACCTGCTAATCAGATACAACAACAGCTATGATCTGCATAAAAAGCTGAAATTTCTACAGTTTGGGGAAGTGGATGGATGGTAGATTATGCGTAGGACCGGTTCTTGACGTGTCATAAAGTGCCTCTTATATTAAATCTGTCATCTTGAAAGCAGTTGCAGGTAATATATTGAACTAAGTGAGCAATCCAGGATCAAGAGGTGGTCTGCAGAGTGGAGGTGATTTCAAGCATTTATTATTTTGTCATCGATGTGGCTAAAGGCCTCTAAATTGGTTTTTTTTGGATTTTATGACTCTTGTCTCAGGGTCAAACATGAAACAAAGTTAGATGCTTTTTTTAAATTATATCGCGACATCTTGTTGATTTCTTTAAATAAATTAAACCGTTTATGTGCCCTTTGTTGCTTGTTTAAATGACTGTGACTTTATTGGTTTAAACTAAATAGTAATTTTGGTCATTTAACAAGTATGTCGAAATTATAATTTTTGGTATTTATTACCATTAGGCGACTTCTTTAAAAGTTAGAGTTCCTTTGGGTCTGTCACTGGAGTGTTTTCCATAGTTTAGCTCGTTTTAACTTTGTCGGCATTTGGGGTAATTATTTCGTGGCGATATGTTAAGGTACCTTTAAGGCCTACCCAATGCGCACATCGGGGTAAACGTTGTGAGTTATAACATAAGAGAATTGTAATTGTGTATAAATTAGGTACGAAATGACAATCTTTTACTTATTGTGTCTTGGTGGATCTAAGTAATTCCTAGCTTATACTCTCGGTCTGTTGTGGACTCGTGCCCTTGGTTTTTTATTTTTTCCTGTGTCGATGCATTTTGTGTTCCGATTTGTAATTGATTTCTTGCATTCTAGCCATGTCTTCTCCCGGCTTTCCACCTTACCTTAGGAATGATTCAGTCCCAATTGATTTCAATTGCACACAGGGCATTCAGTGGGTTTGGGTCATTCTTCGACAGTGTGCCGTCTCACCAAAGGAAATAGCTGGTGTTTCTTTGGGTCTACTTTCAGCGGTAGTCTGGATTGTGTTCTTGATACCTCAAATTGTCGAAAATTATCGCAAAGGTATCCCTGATAAGGCCATCTCTCCCACTTTGCTTGCGTGTTTTATAATCGGCGACAGCTTTAATCTTGTTGGTTGCCTTCTTACTCACCAACTACCTTTGCAAGTATGTTTCTGTTATGTCAGATGATGTACAATTTAGTTTTCTTGTATATTTGTTCTGAAAGGCCTTTCAACCTAATGTCCAGAAGCCACGTATTCTTTTCATTAATTACAGGGAGATAGTGTGCTAAACGCCTCCTCCTTGAATTTTTTTACCTCTCTGATTTAGTAACTAGCTTTAATGTCAGTGATTATTATCTGATTCTTGGGACGAACGTGGTTTTGGTGAAAATCATGCTCCAACTGCTTTTTATTTACAAGTATTCCAGTAAATGATTTTTGGTGGAGTCCCGTTCGTCTTCATCACAAAGTTGAATTTTGTGAAACTTTGAGGGTGTGAGATCATGTGGACTGTTGGCTAAAATGTCTGTTGATTTTGACAGTTTTAGTGAAATTTCACCATTCTCATCCCATGTGTCGGCTTTCAGACGGTGATAGCAGCAACTGGCGTTATCTGTGATTCGATTCAAATCTGTCAGTTTATGTACTACAAGTCCAAACACGCAGCTTCGCCCCAAAGTAAGCTATTTTTGGGTTTCGTTGGCTTGGTACTGTTTTCCACGCTTTCTATCGGTTTCCTCTTGGCGATATTCGTTCACTTTCCTTCAATCTCCTTAACTCAACCAGAAGCGTATTAATAGGGTATCCCTGCGCCATCCTTCAAAATGAATAGCATTTTGCGTTCATTTCTTTCACGTCCAGACATGGTCGAAATCTCCACAGCAGATGAGTCCAACGGTGGAGGGGTTGCTCAGGGTAACGAAGGATTGCGCTCATCTCCATCTCTCCCTATTTTCTGCGTTTTTGGAATTTTTTGCTTAACAGAATCAAGCATTTACCCCCATCAAGGAGAATTCAAACACCTGCCGGCTTCACGTCAGTTGCTCTCTTTGGAATCAAAAACACCCTTTTTTGTTTCGCCTCAGCCCCTATTTCCTGCAAGTGTCTTATCATAAGTTGCTCTTAAAAATGCCTGCATTTTAACAGAATTTGCGTAAGCTTTTAATTTTTTCATAAGTTTTCTTCAAACTAGTTGACGTGATTATGCAATTTTTCTAATGCTATTCATTTACTGTGAAGAGGCTTTGATCGTTTGCAGCTTGAAGTGGGCTTGTTGCCGTGTTTACTTGCCCTTAGTTATTTGCGGAGGCGTTAGTGGCTGCAAATGCCATTATTAACTGATGTGACTTTTTGTGTGACTCTGTCATTGAATCGGACGGCTGATCCGAGTCATTTAGGCTCTCGACATTTTTTGACAGAGTTCAACTTTACATGGAATTGTATCCTAATTTTTTATAAAAAGTGTGCTAAATTGTGAATTGACGAACATTTACTAAATTCACTTACGGCAAACCGCTCTACACTCGGCGAATCCTATGAATTTTCGGGTGATCTCTGTAATTCAGTGGCCTCGTTGGGTTTGAAAACACAAGCAGTTAAAGTAGTTAAGGTAACTAAAAGCTACTTCCCAGAGACGTGTCATGTCGGTGCCTTATTTTGACAGCAATAAAGCTGCTGTGAGGCGAGGTTTTGTTGAGGTTGGTATGCGCACTAAACTTGCCCAACTTTTGTCTTTGACATTTCTCTCTCACTACTGGGTTTACTCATGCCTACTGTTACATGTTCATTTAACGGGAAGGGGAGCCATAAATAAGACGCGATAATTTGCTTGTATATTTTATTAATTAACCCTTTCTTAATTTTAGAACAAGGAATCGCTTGTGGGGTACGTACTAGGTTGGATTTCAGCGACCGTCTATCTTTCATCAAGACTGCCTCAAATCATAAAAAACGTATGCCTCATGTTTTCATATTTATTTAATTATGTAGTTTTGTCGTTTCGGCTAATTTTTGCTTTTGATCCTACTTTCGAATTCGGTCGTTGAGTCGTATTTAACCGCTGGCCTAAGTGACCACCTTTGAACACGCCTGTTGGCTTATCTAATCGCAGTCACCTAAATTTCCATGAGCACAAAGCCACCATGACAGTGAACACGAATCGTTGCCAAAAATTGCCTCCATTATAGTAATATTTGATCTTAGATCTCAAAACAGCGTGGTTGTTGATGTCAGAATTTGTACCTGCAAATTGAATTAGTGATAATGCGCGTCATTCAACCAAAGCTCCAAAAGGCTTCGTGCAGGTTAAACGCTTTCGCTAACGCAATTTCTTCAATTATTCTATTCACGTTGACCTTTTTGCGTTTAGTGGAAGCGCGGAACAACTGAAGGCCTCAGTCCGATCGTCTTCGTATTGTCCGTCATTGGCAATTTGGCTTACGGTCTGCAAATATTTTTGACTTCAGTTGAACGAAATTTTCTCATTCGATCTCTTCCCTGGGTCGCTGGCTCATTTGGCGTTCTAATTTTCGACACTACTGTACGTCGTTTTATTTATCCTTTCAGTTATCATAAAACAGCATCCTTACCTTAGTACATTCCACTTCCACGTTGTCTGTTCAAATGTGATCCAACAATCGCCTAATCGTTGCTCTATTGGTCGCAGAACATTTCGGTTACCAAGGTGACCTGCAAATGTGCGTCTGCTCTGCTAGTTTAGCCTTCCCGCACGTAATAGCCGATGCACGGGAGTTGTGCTTACCGATTTTGCAAATATTCTCGAAATGTAGCACGCTGTTTTCAGTTTTGAGTTGGCATTGCCTTCATTGCCTGTCCTAAGTTTACATTAGTGGGTCGAACATTTGCTTGGTTTAGTGCCATCAAATTATTTTACACGGGTGCTGTCCTTAAGTGGTGTTTACGTAACTAAATACCCCCGAGTAGCTTATTAAATATCTCTTCAGCTTTTTTGACCGAAAGACTGCTTCTCGCGGCAGAGGAGGTACTAAAGGAAATTATTTTCCAATCTATTTGCTTACCATGCCCTCGGACGTCCCGCTTATCAGCCGAGTTACTATTTCCTTTTTAATTTGGATTTAGCTGTTGAGATGCCAAGGGCCTACTGATCAAGATTTCTGGGGTCAAACCTGCTAACTCATCTGTTTATTTTTGTAGATCTGCTTGCAGTTTTATTGGTTCCGCAGACGAGATTATGACCTGCTTAACGAGGATACTGCAGTCTCCGTCGTCTAATTTTAGTGACAAACGAAATCATTGACACTTCAAATTTCATTTAACTTGTAATTGTTACTTTATAATTTATTGTCCTGATTAGTAAATTGCATCACCTTCTTTCCTTATTTTCCTTCTGGATGCGGTGCTAGCTCTTTTTTGACGAACTTTCAGTGAAACATGGTTGGTGACCACGATTTTTCCAACTTACCTCTACTGCCCACCATATCTTGCCATGTTTTGGCTTTTATCGCTTGTTTGCGTCTATCATATTCGTGTAGGAACATTTTCAAAGATTGTTTAAATCCTCTGAAGCTAGTGCTAGAAGTTACTAAAATTATGATCAAAACTCGCTCCCTCTTCTGAGCTTCCATTCACCCGAAAGTGTCCGACTTTCGAATAATCTGCAGCAAATTGTGGGTTCAGAAGATTCGATAAAGCGTTTGATGCTCCTCAGTACACTTACCTCGTCAGTACGGTATGCACTGAACTGATGGTCCGCCATTTCAAACTCGTCACTCGGCTATGTTTCTTTCCCCTGGGGTTTTCGATATCGTCTGCTTCCATGATACTTGGCCGCTATTTAATCCCGTCAATTTTTTCTGCGTCAGGTATTTCCCGACAATGTTTAACTCGTGGTGTAGACCATCGCTCGAGACAGTCATTGACCACGCGGGATTTGCGTCATTGCCAAAACGCACCTAGAACCATGCCACGACTTAAACTCGACCGTTGGATTTTGCTCTACTTCTGTGGATCAATTTAGCGCAGTAACGGCATTAGTCTGCCCAATTTGCTCGGTGCGCACTTGACCATGCGTATTGCCGATTTTAATGCCTCTCGTGGTCATGGCCATTTTTATAAAAGTATTTATTAGTAGCTGGCGTGCTTTAGTAGATCTTACAGCGGAAATTAAAGTCATATGTCTTTGCATGCATCTCTAGTGATTTAGTCACTGTTTAACATTTCTGCATTTCTGATTCGTAAATTGTGTAGGTAGAAATAACTTTCATCTAGCCTATGAATCGAATCGGTCATTTATCTGGCTGAAATACCCCGCATTTTCACCAAAATTTTGTCTTTTTGAGAATTTGAACCGACCTGCGAGAACGATTTCATTTAAATCATTTTGATAAATTTTAATGAAGGGGCTGTCTTGAACTCTGTGGTATATCTTCGGCACATTGTTGAAAGCATCAGCCCGTCCCTGCTCCAATCAGTTACGAAAAACCGATCTTCCTGAATTTTTCATGAAGTTTTGATATTTATAAAATATGCCGCCCTTGTGGTTTGCTTTGCAACACCTTTTCTCCTCCGTCCATCTTTCCAACTAGTGCCCTCTTTGATGGGGAGCTCTGTAGCGAACGCTGCCTCGATTTGTCTAACTTTCAATTCACTTTACCAGTGTTGCCCTCTAAGTAGTGCTTTCCCCGACTCGACTTTCCGTGTCGCCGTTGTGTTTTCCATTTGTTCAAAATTCCGCTTTGGCAAGCAGTCATATTTTTTAGGTTCACGATCAACCCATGGATAGTGCGGCTGCTGACCGTGAAGCAGAATCGTTTTTTCGTGTCAAGAAACGTCTCTCGTCAACCCTATTAGCTGTGTTTCCGGCCGCAATGATTGGTCGACGCGTCTGTGTGACTTTACTCGACGAGACACAAGTCACCGGACGTCTGTGCTTCGTCGACGGTTTCTTGAACCTGCAGCTGGACTCGGGTGTCACGGTAACCCCTGGAGGGGGTGGTTCTCTGCCACAAGAGACCATCGAGGCAAGTTTCTGTCGGCCTCTAAGCTCACTCTGGCCACACGGGTGTGACTTTACTTAGCTATAATCCAGCTGCGCAGCGGTTGTCATTAGTTAAGAGCAGTAGTGGGCTCGAACTCGAGTTAAAATACGCCAAGACGATTCAACAATCGTTTCATCTACCCGTTCCTGTTAAGTTGTTTCCCCAATTTAACCATTGTCATTGTGGGCGCTATTTACGCCCACCTTATGATAAGGTTCTGTTTGGTCGGTGTAGGTCATATATCCTTTTGGTGCACCACTTATAATGCATTTTTTTCCTGACAATAACCGCGTCTCATTTTGTATTGAAACGGGTTGTTGGTCTTTAAACGTACAACGGAAACTCAAAGCCTCATTAATGTTCTATGAACCCTTAATACTGCGAAGTCCTTAGTAATAACTGTTTTCATGGACTAATAGAATTATAAAATCAATCTCCCACACATCCACAAGGTGCCTTTTAAATCACAGATAGGAATCACTGTTTTCCTACAAACTTGTACTATTGGTAGAATTATATCTGGGCTTAACCAATCACTTCTTAACGTTAAACCATGCGATACTGTTGGTTTACCCATCATTGGAATGCACCCTGGGCTTTAAGTTTTTGGGTTTGTACGATCTCGAAATAATGGGGGTAAATGTGGTCTACGTAGCGCACATGTGGCTCGATTTTTAGATGTTTTTAGTTATAACGCCTAGGTAATAATTTGTGGGCGGCTTGGGATAATACTAGCGTGTCGTTGAGTCGGGGATTTTTCGGACTTTTCTACCATACCCCTCTTGATCAGGGGTTTCACAGACATTTAACCGTGTACTCTATTGTCTCTAATTCGAAAGTCGTTGTCTGCTGACCTGCACTGCGTACAACATGTTACCTTTCGTTGATCTTAAAGCGGAAACTCGCGACTCACTGGCACTTATTTTTTTCGATTTCTATGCAGAAAGACTTGAATATATTTCGGCAACTCGGCGCACCTCGTTTCAAGGTTCCTATGCGTATCCAGCAAACAGTTGTTATTATCTGTCGAGATTTCAATTAATTTTATGTCCATTTTACTAACACAACCTACTTTAAATTAGTAAGCGATCTTTGTGTTTGACAGGAAATTAGCATATCGGGCAAGCGTGTTCGCTACGTTGGTCTGCCCGCGTCTCTCGATGTAAAATCAAGCATTGAATCGTACCTGAGTAGGTCGGAAACAGCCGACCCCAAGTACGTCCAACGACGCCTCAAAAAGGACAAATATGCGCACTTGCGCCCAAGCGTTACAGAAAACAGAGACGAAAACAGTGCTCTCTAAGTGTCTTTGTCTTCAGGGAACCTTAACTTCTGATATTTACGTCAAATTTACCATCTTTCATGTCGGTAACTTCGTGTGAAATATATTCTGCTTTCCGTGTTTCTTGTAAAACCTTAACCAAGCGTTCCGCTTGTTTGGCCTCAACCACTTGAGAACTGTATAGATAATCTCCTTTACGACACTGAAGCTCACTGTTTACTGGTCATCTCTAAAAACCTTGGGTGTGAACCGTGCCTCCTTCGGCCTGATTACTCCACTCGTAGGCGTGAATTCGTTGCAGGAAAAATGCACATTTTCATGCAGAGGCAAATCTTGGGGTCATGATGGGTAGTAGGAAGCGAAATCGGGCCAGATCCAACTCAGTGGTCCCGGCGTGGTTCAAGACCACATGCCCGGGCCCACAGCAGGTGGCATCGAACTGGGTGAACACACTGGTGTAAATGTTTTCATTCCAGATGTCCTGGGGTAAAGCATAACTAGCTGGGAATCGCACACTAGGGGCACTAAACCACTACATTATGGTGTATGGCTGCTCTTCAAAAGTTAGTTTTGCATTCCCTTAACTAACCAATTTGAGGGAACCATCATGGAGGAAGGGCTCAACAACAGCCAAGTCGTTCAATGAATTTGTCATAGGTACGAGCTGCGTCGGCGGAAAGCGGTGCACTGATCGACGAAATCGTCCATGGGAACAATGCACTGTGCTTTAATGCGAACAAATAATTGAGCGGCTCACTTACAATTTTGCATGCATGCGACGGCGTACTTTGAATTGCCGTGCATTGTTTGATTAATATCACTTCACTGGTGTCTCAGCTTACGCAAAACCATTAATAGATCGATTCTTGGTAGTAAAACCCCTTAATAACGATCTTGTGGGCTTAAATCGATCGAGGGACCACCCAATCTGGTAGTCTATGCACCCACCTTTGCGCCTGACAGCTCGTCTCAGTCGCTGAAGGGTTGGTGTCTCGGTCACTTGACCTTCCACGACGCTCTCCTCACAAGCGGTATCGGTAGTTCACATTCGGCAAATTCGGAATTGTCGGACTTCTCGGTACCATATGTTATAACCTCTGTTTACACATAAACAAACTTTGCTATCTAGGACAACGATGCAGCGTGTGACGTTTCATGGGCAGCTTATGCAAGTGACTGGGGTGTTTACATTCACAGCACAAGCGCTCTACCGACACGTTAGTTGGTGGGGGAAATTTACTGTTAAAATTACTTTTATTCCACAAAACCAATATCCGTAAAATTATGTGGCTTTGAGTGAATCAGAATAACAAATCTTGGTAAAACGCAAGGCGAAGGGGAAGTAGGGTATAAGGGTCTATTGTTTCCCCCGGGCGACTTCTCTAATCTGGATTTAGGTTCCTGATGGGTCCTCCGCGCCATTTTCTTTCCACCACTGACTGACGAGTTCTCCTCTGCCGCCCAGGCGGTAACTCAGAACGATGCGGATGAAGAAAATCACGTAAAGAAATACCTTTAAATGAAAAGGTTTTGCATGTAATCTCTTGGCAAGGAGTTTAGCACCATTTGAATTTCAATATTTTCCCGTGGTCGAAATTATCGTGAGCTCCTGCTGGCAAAGAGCAGGAGCTTCAACTTTGAGGGGTTAAGGTAAAACTCTCTTACAACAAATTCTTAGTGCCAAGCTTGTTAGATCTGTACTTAGTTGGCAAAAAAATTAAATTAATTTGATTTTTTTAAACATTAGGAGCTGATTGGTAACCTTATTTTTCGTATTTCGAGGTGGCAGAATTTTCAAATAGTTTACAGAATACTGTGTGCCGTCGGTTGTGATAAAATGGACGTTTATGCATACCAGGCTGACGCAATTTATCATGTAAAAGCAGACAGCAGTTTATTCCAGTATTCGGCTGTTTAATGTAGCGGCATCTGAGTTAATCTATCCTACGCCCTTTCCTGTATCTGGAAAGGGTTCAAAAATTTTGTTGGGCTTCTAAAGCCAACTACCGAAGACTTGCGACAAAATGAGAGAACTATTGTATTCTTGACGTCCTCCTTTATGCGATTCAGGATCCTACATCAGTTGACAGATGACTGATGCGAATTCGCCTGTTTTTACTGAAGAGATGGTTGATTGTTTCTTGTTTTGGACCCTTTCCATGCTTCCCCACTGAGTCGAAACTTCCCGACCGTCCCCTCATTATATAAGACATATCTCGACCACAAATGTAATGTCGTATTTTCAGGGGAAGAAGTAATTGATCTAGTCACCATTAACTTTGGTAACTGTGCAAATATCTGCATTTTACTTAAGACTCGTGGGTCGATAATTTATCTGCTTCAGATTTGAATCTCATCGAAATTGTCTGGCCTATAGGTGTCACCCATCCAGTCTCTCATAAAAACATAGAATTAGCTCCTGCTGTTTTGTTAATACCTGAATAACCAATCCGAAGGTGATAGTAAGAACACTGGCTATTACGGCGTCGGCGGGCTTGCTCCAATCAAGGACAGGGTAGATAGGTCGGATGTTGCCAGCGTCGTAGTAGATGTAGGAGAAAACAGCGTAAATCAGGCCCAGTAAGGTTGGATAGATGGCGTGCAGCAGGCGAATCGGCAGTCCATTTACCCAAGCGTCTATGAAGACTGTGCAGGCCGGGATCAAGTGCTTGAACTTCGACTCCGGTCTGTAAAATTGAACTGACAGAAAACAAATAACTTGCTTAGCCAAGCCCCAGTTTTTTGCATCTGGAAGTTAGGAGGATTTGGAAGGTTTTTTCGAATAAAAAAATACACTGATTTACGGTTTGAGAAATGCCCAGTGGTAGAAATTGGTTTTTGTAAGATGTCTTAAGTACGTTTGGTGTATTCGGTAGAATTGAACTGACAAAATGTCATTTGCCGTTCATGTCATTTATAAAGGCGACTTTTTGAAGAATATCTGTTGCTCCGCGTAATTTCAGGAAATATTAAATCTCCTGGTTGGGAAAATGAACTCTGATCTAACGTAACCTTCATTAATGCCGATATTACCTGCCCTAATCTGACTAGCACCAAAGATGTGTTTGGAAGCCGCTAAAGAAAAACCGATTCAAACACGTATCGAACTGAGTTTGGATTTTCGTGTTTAATACTCGCAACAGAGAGTCATCGCAGCAAGTAAAAAGTCATGCAAAATAATAAAAAATGCATTTCATTTAAATTAACAGGTGATTGCTCTGATATCAGCATTGTGCTGACATATGCCATTCATTTAGGGTATAAAGTGACGTGCATACTTCCGTCACGAGGTCCTCGTCTGAAGATTTTGTGTGTGAAGCAGTTGACATGATACCTTATTCATTAAATTTTATTTGCATGTGCATACGTCAGTTATGGAGGGTACTTTTGCCAAATTCGTTTCTGTGGGAGCTGTTTTTTCCGAAACATTCTTAACTTGATATCGGTTTATGGAAGTTTCAGTAGCCAACGTCTATCTAGTGCTCGGAAGTCTACCTTGTCGGATAACCCTTGTGGGATGCCCTCATTGTCACTCCATCCTCTTTTAGGTTCATAAATGCCATACCTCTTCCATGCCAATCATAACCTCTTTGATTTCGTCATGGACCTAAAAATTTAAGTCAGTCCGATGCTTCTCACAAGGCAATATTAAAAGAAATATAATCGTTTGCAAGAAAGTACTCTACGTTTTGCGATGGGAAATGAGACTCAGTTGAGTATATAAAAGCATAAAAGTTTATCTTTTGCATATGTTCAGTTTCGCCCGACGTCCCTCTGTCACCTTTCAAGCAAATCCACGATTCATCTCCCATAAAACATCTGCCGGACGATATCAGTAGTAAATGAGTTTCCGCCGAAGTCTTACAAACGTTTCAATAAATGACAGTCTGATAACGTACGGTCAGGCCTCTATGGGGCTTCAAAATCACATTGCAACTAAGCCCAGCTAATTTTTTTGCGAGTTGCCAATATGTGTACAACATTTCTTGATTAAGTGTGATTGCTTTTTGGCTCAAATTTTTGCCCGCTTCTTTTTACTTCCTTATCTATTGCTTTAAGTATGTTTTTTTGCAGTTTAGTTGGAACCCAATTCATTGTGTTTCTTAAAGAGTTCGGAACATTGCTAGTGTGTGATGCGTCACCGTAAGTCTATCCAATTGTGGCTTTGATTCAATCACTATCACTATCAACTCCAGTTATTTTCAGTTTACGTTTGCGAAAACTGTAGTTGCTTCCCTGCCACCCTAATTGGAAAAGAGGAATTTAATTTGTAATTTCACAAACTGAATCACGAAGACCATCAGTTGTAGTCTCGAAAAGCTGTTGCTTATAAAATTTTACATCAGGTTTTGAAACCTGCAACTTCCGTGAATTAAACTCGAAAAATCATCAATTCGGAACCAACAATTTTTTTCGATAGAAGTTGACAAATTTTCAAATCGGCCTTGGTAAGTATGCAGCAAATTGGCTGGACGACTTCCTTCATTGGCGGATTTGGGCTCACATCTTTCTTTATTAACGAGTTAAACAATTTGAAGCTTTTTAGTTGTAAACTATACCCTTCCACTTGTTCTTTACATTTGCGCAAGCATTAGGTCTGCAGGGTTTTAACGTTTATATGTTTCCTTAGCAGGTTCTTGTAGATTTGATGTGGGCGACATTTAGAGGGTGTTTTCATGCTCTATGGAATATTGTTCCACAAAGTCAACGATGGCCAGCTAGGTAAATTGGAGGCAGTGTGGTGGACTGCGTATTTGCTCTACGTACAGAACAGGCAACTGCTAACGCCCAGCCGCTTATGGCCGGGACCACTGCCGTCAGCGCCAAGCACGACGCCCATTGGCGAGTGCTCGCCATGCACCTTGGCCCGGCCCGAAACTCCTCCCTCACACGTGATGGCACCATGTGATTGAAGATAGTGAGAGCGAAAATAAGACTGCTCAGCTGTTCTGCTGCGGGGCTTTCGAGAGAAATTGCTTGCAAGGAGCAGGTTCGATTAAGTCGTCTTCAAATACATAGCTTTTTTAAAGTGTTAGCTACATGGCCTTGACAAAACTTTGAAATCTATAAAATTTGTTGCCAGTTGCAGAAGGGCAGTTGAAAAACCATCATTATTTGTGTGCTCCACTACTTGTCATCACTTATGGCGGTGCTAACGGGCTGAGGTGAACTCGAGTTGACACCAAATAAATGTACGGTTTAATATCTACGGACCGTCTTTACTCAGACCCGCGGGTCGTCAGGACTCTTAGTTCATAGACGTGCTCGGTCTAACGCTTTTGTTAGATGTGTTTGGTAAGCTTGGCTTTCGGAGGATTCGGGCATGACCATCTCCTTGAATTACACTCAGCGTCTACTGAACTCACCATACTTTGGATCCCAAAATGCAGCCCAGTATACGAGGGAGGTTACGAGGACGGTGTTCATTGACATACCATACAAGAACCATAGAAACTCGGAGAAGCATTTCGGAACATGCTTTTCTGAAAGTTAAATTAGAACAGGAACGCGTTTCATATTTTTCGAAGACAGGAATTGAGCGTTCGCAAAATAATCTGGTTACAAAGCACGTTCAATGCTGCCTACTCGAAGGCCATTTAATTCACGTTTCAATATCTGGGATTTCGCTTCGAAGCCTAATTCCTCTTGACAAAAGTGCAATTATTTGTATAATAAAATTATGCATGTAATCTTTTTATGTGGATGTTTGTGGGTCTCATTTTTGAAATCTCTGGTTTCTTCATGAGTGGCCGCACTCACGTAAGCTACCGAATCGATTGAATAAGTACCTGCGAATGTCTCGTGGTTACGCTTAACAACGTCAATGTCATGTCGATGGCACCCTTTTCATTTCCTAATAGGACAAACCGGCTACTCCGCTGACAGCGTTGCCAGCTCCCTCGCGTACAGCCCAGAGACCACGAAATCATCAGTCAAAAGTCGGGCTTCGAAGGCAAAGGCCAAAACAATGGCTCGTCACCACTCACCCTTATTGAAATTGAAGTAGGCGCAGTAGACTGCGAAGATGCTCGAGGTTACTGTGTAAGTAAGGAAGGCCCAATTCGTCGCGTACAGAAAGTAGTAGAGTTTCATGTGCTCTTCTTTACTTCTCTTCACCTCCAAAGGAATCTCGACGCACGCCCAAATCACCAGACCGAGAGCAATGATAACTCGATAAATTGTATACACCACACCGTCCATCCAAATCCACTAGACAAAGCAAATATGTCTTACCTGTTGGAGTTTGTTGTTCAACTTGTCTTTTTCTTAGAACTATTCTTCATCGCGTGTTTCCCTTACCACATAGTTTACAGCCTTAAGCTACCTCATTATTCAGCAAAGTAATACTTCCACAAACAAACTGACCCATACAATATTATAAATGCTTCTTCATTTGAAAATACGCTTTGGTGTGGATGCAGAAAAAACAATGCCTGAAAATTAGTGTCATTCTTTGGCGAATCCAGTTTCCTTGATTCATCAAGTGAAAATCACATGGACCTACTGCGTCATTATTAAAAGTTCTTAGCTGGGGGTAAAATTAATGAGTTTGTTGCTGCAGTGTTAGAAGACCGCCATCATTATTTAAACTTTTTGTGCGATACAGCTACAGCAACTTGGTATGACTTGCTTTCTGTGGCTTCGTGAAGGTCATTCTTCGAGACCTGAACTGTGGCTAACAGTATTTTAGGGAATCAGTGGTGGTGTCTAAAAGAATGAGGGCGTGTCACGAAACCCCATTCACGATTTTCTACCGGTCACGGTCTCTCCTTAATTACCCGATTGCTTAACATTTTTCGAAATTTGAACCTAAAACTGTCTACTCCTTAAACATTTTGTCAGGCTCCGTGAATATATTTGGTCTTAGACATTTTCACGCCCCAAAATTTGACGATTTGAGCTACTTCATTTGGACAGAACTGGCAAGGTTCCAACAAATTTTTCTTCTGAATGCAATAATTTGCAGATTTCGGAAACCCCGTTTCACACAGCCTAGCCGCTGTATCTGCATTAAGGAACTTGTATCTAGCGGAATTTCGCCATGATTTTTGCATTTCAAATGTTCCAGCGATAGTTTGTGTTTTTTGGGAGATTTTTGTAAAATTCGAGCTAAAAATTTTAATTTTCTTTTGTTATTCGAAAACAAGCATTCACTTGTTTTAAAAGTCTAATTTTTCAGGGCACCCAAGTGCCTTAAAGTCTGAGTTCGCTCTAAATATCTCATCACTTTATTGTCCATTAAAAAAATTAGTTTCCTTGGCATATGTGGAACAAATGATTTTGCCGTGGGTTATGTGGTAGATACATTTATTTGACCTCGTTTAAATGTGTTCGCTAACTCATTTATGATTTGATTGTGAAGCGACGAAGTCTGTCGCGAAGTAGAGACCATTTACTCCAGTTGGGACTTCATTGCATCGACGGACTTTATGAAGTCTGCACACTGGACTGATAAGCTACGGATTTCGCCCTTCCACCAGCAAGCTTAAGACTAGTGATTTCGCAATGCCAGTTTTTTCTACCAATCAGTAAAGAGCCAGGTCGTTTAATATGACGTTTAAATCAGCACGTCCTACTTGCGAGACAATTTACCTAAGATCTATATTAACCGACCAAATTTTACCTCTTAACTAACTAATTATATGCAAATTAAATGATAAACTTACTTGTGGCAGTGGAAACAGACTGAAAATGGCGCCAGTGAAACCGAATTTGCTACACTTGAATTCACTTTTGAGAGCTTTTCCAAATGTCGAGCAACAGGGCTTCCTTTCTTCTGTCGCGTCCTGCATTTCGCACCAACTTTTGCGCCTTTTCAACGTGCCCTTAAACGTTCAGTTGCCCCGCGTGAGACGCCCAATTGGAACCATCACACTTGAAGCTGACTGACCAATGAGAGACCTCCTCAAATACGCTGGTTATCTAGTGTGCTGTTATCTTTGGTAATAGTAAATAAATGCTTACATTCGTAAATTACAGTCTAGTGTCTACTGCCCACGACGGGTTACAAATAACGAGTTCTATTTCTCCAACTTGACTTCGGGCAGCGAAAACGACGATATATAGCGGGAATAAAATCGGTGTGAATGTGCCCGTACTTACGAACAGAATAAGTGTCTAAAATGATTAATTACCACCAAAAATCAATTCATAGCGCATTGCTGAGGAAAGTAACTTTGTATATTTTGTAGTTCTGAGAGAACGATAAATTTGATGAGTTGTCACTCGAATACTGTCGAACAAAAGTAGAAATGTCGATTTGTTCACTTTACATGGTTGGAACTTTTTGTCTAGAACCATCTTGGCGATACTTTTCCTTGTTCATGCTCGTGCGCTCTCCACGCGCAAGAGTGGACCAGGCGACGATATGAGGAGCAGGCTTTGGTGGCACTTTTTGGTTCTATCTTAACAGGTTCTATGGCAGGAGTGCTTGACTTGGAATTGCATTGGAAGCACTTGAAACCAATTTATGGCCTTTTTCCATAAAACGGTTCTCCCTTAGCTGGTGTTTAGCGTATTTTAAGTAACACCTCATGCCCTGTGAATCGAAATATGCCAGAACACCAGTTCTCGACACAAATCTCTACGATTTCTACGATCCGCGTTTGACTGCCTGAAGCAACTGATGATGTGGAAACTTTCCAGAGAATGTCTAGAAATTCCTAGCAAAAACAAAACAAAATTAAAATGATAAAATGATATTAAAAAATGATAATAAAATATTTTCCTTATTAATTACTGTTATGAATCACGAACACGAAATGACTCTGTTTTGAAGGAAGTATTGAATAACGGGTTAGATCACGTTTTTGCCTCCACTCAACACGTGATGAAGACACTCAATTAAGGACCGAGAATTGCACTGGTCTGCTCATGCCCTAATCGGAACGTGGGGCATCGAACATTGCCTGAGTTACCGTGTTTGCTCTACTGCGCGCATTTCTCGTGTTTCGGGTCTTCGGTACAATGGTATCCATGGGAAAGTGAAATATTTCTTCTCCTTATTGAGAAGGTAAAGATATTACTGCAATGCAATCATATAACGGCGCGAAACTCTGAGACATATCTTTTATTCCCATTTTTCATATTCTAACCTAAGTGAATTAATTCCCGACATTGCCATCAGAAAAATTTCTGCTAGCCCACCACAGTTGGTTAACAGTGATGCGAGCAGGCTTTCCTATATTCACATCGTCTTATTCGATAATCTGTCCTTTTCCAAACCCATGTTGTTTGTATAACTTGGGATGATGCTTAACTTAGCGTGAGATTTACTCCTCCTAAATGTCTCATTTATGTAAAACTTTAGGTGTTTATGGAAACGACACAGAAATAGACTGAACAGCTTTGGTAGTCTTAAAAGACTTGTTTGTCTGGAATAAAGACTGATCTTCCAAGAATATGTATTCGTATTTATGTCAGATCGGTTCCGTTGTTATGGTTCTGCTGTGCCGTTGAATGTTTGCCTTTGCTACAAGTGGAAAGTTGAGTCCATCAATAGAAAAACATGCCTAAGTGCATAGACCAGGGAAACTTTTTGGGGAAAGTCATTGGCGCATTTTATTTATTCAAAAATAAACAAATGTGGCTCCCTAGGACAAAAAGCAATCGGACAGAATCCGAAATAGGCCCCAAAGTGAGGACGACGCACAAGACGTGATGAGAGAATCATAAACCGTGCTTATTGGCATTTTTAATGAATATTTTAAATCAGATTGTAGTGTTCGTCAATTTAATTGGGAGGTCAAACTAACAGGCTGGTCTAATATTTTGAGCCATCTATTCAACTGGCTGAGACTAAGCTGCAACTCTTTGTACACCGCACAAACTCACATTGAGTGATTTTAGCCACGAATTCAACTTTGTCGGCTCTTTCGTTTTAAGCTACACCATTCCAGATTTTGTATTTATAGTGATATACATTTACAAACTGCAGGGCTAAGTGTATGTATCATCCTTGTGACTTCCATATAATCCTTGAAACACAGTCACTTAAGCTATATATCGAATTTCCGCATTTTCGAATCCAGTGACAATTCCGGCTTGCGTAAAAGCTCTTCAATTTTGAAAGGTTCCTCATAATTGAGAAAGTACTAATAGTCGTCCTGGGACATCTTGTAAAATCCATACGCAGTGATGAATTTCAGCACAGCCAATTTAGTTGTCGCATTGATTTACAAAACGCGTTAAGTTCGTAGTGTTGGTAAAGTTTGCAGCCACTATGCGGGTGCTCGTGTGGCGAATAAAAAGACGATAAGCCGTGGCCGTGATTTTCCGCAAGCCAAAAACACCTGTCATGTTTGTGTTTAATGTCACTTACAGGAGCTAGCCATTAAAAAGTCAGATTCTCAAATAAATCACGAGTTAGGAAGGTAAGTTTTCGCTAATCTGCTTGTAGATTTGCCCCGACGCCTCCTGGAGGGGAATTAGTCATGCAGGCGAGGTCATATTCAGCGGACTCTAAACCAACCCTAAGCAAAAGGTTAGCGGTGGAAATCTGCCGTACGTGTTGAATGATCTGTCATGATGATGTTCTTATCCATAACTGGGAATACGTAAGTAGAAAACGACCATTCACTGCATCCAGTATATTGAAGAATCGTGTGCTACTGGCGTCAAATTAATGCACTTACCACCTAACGGCCCAGATCTTGCTTTACTTATAAATGCTTTCATATTATTAAAAAAGAGATCCTCAAAGTCAAATCATGTGGCGTCTACCGGAGGTAAGCTTCAACACTCTTCGTAATACCACTTTTTTTGAATAGGCATACTTCCTTCTACGAACCTTGAAAATTCATCAATTAAAAGAGAGTCGCGTTTTCTCCTATCCCACCGGACTGCGGGTATGCAATGGACAACATTAGGGACCAGGTCTAGGAAATGTTTGAATTCTATAAGTTTATGTTTCCTTAAATTGAAGTAATTTTCTTGGAAAATAGTTCGTCAAACATAAAAGACATCTAGTGGAACATTAATCCAGAAATCGGGACTTTATAGCTTACATGCAATACTCCTCTCTATACTTTTCTGTTTGATCACTTTTCAATTTTGGTTTTCATAGTTGGGGCTGGATTTCGGGGTTAGAGTTCTTAGTTAAGCTAACATTTTTGTTTATGAAGTTGTCAATGAGTGTAGGGGTGAGCTCTGGTACCGATAATAGCAGCCCTCAAAATTGACGCTTGTACTTTTGCTCGACTATGCTTCGCAACGTTTACTTGATTGAATTTACCCATGCCTTGTTAGTTTTATTTATGGTAATCTTTAAATCTATGTGTCAGGAAATCCACAACATGATTGGTGAGAACTCCCGAAAATGGGTTTGCGTTTCACTTATAATTTAATTAGCATCCGAGTTTCAGTGGAGGAACAATAAACCAACCACTTACGTAAATGTCTGTTTAACTGTAAAGTAGATCTGGGTTATTCCAACAGCCTTACAGAAGGCGTGCTCAAACAGCGGTCGAAATCCGCCAGGATGCTTTGACACCACTTCACCGCTCCCTGCTTCATGTCAATCCACTCAGAAAAGCTAGTACCCGTGTACTCATCACGTCCGCATAGTAGGGCAGTGCAGAACCCACCGTTTTGGAATGAAGGCCCTGTAAGACTAAGTAGTTAGTGGTACTTGTTGCCGAGATTGTAGAACGAAAGTAAGTAGACGTTACGCCAGAGTAGGAACATCTATTGTCACCATTTGGGTTTAACATTGGGTGGCATTTCCTGAGGTAGTATCTAATACTCCTGATTAGTCTCTTTCCAGTGTGACACATTTTTCACCCCTGAGCACAAACACAAATGGCGATTTCAGAAATTCCCGTTTTGTGATTCAACGGAAGCCTGAATTGTGCACTGGGTTACGTCATTTCGTCCCACACTCCTCCCACACAAGCGTGAGAACAAGTGTGGCGCGTGAGAATATTAGCAGCTAGAAGAGAATTCTGCTGTCGCATTCATGTTTTAAGTGAAGCATTTATCAACACTTCCTTCATACTTTTTACTGTCTCACTACTTCAACCGTTAACTTGTAACAATACTGACCCGGGGATTTCAATGCAATGATCCTCCCAAGATAGGGCTAAACAAGGTTAGAAGCGGAATTCCTCATCAAAATCCAATTGATTTTGAACTTTACACGCAACATGTAAAAACTCTATATTCTATGTATTTTATGATGAGCGTGTCAAGTGGCAATTGCACATGGCAGAGTTCGAGCGTGGAACCTATAACCTTGCACCTCTGCAGTTTTGAAACGTGAGTGGACAGCCAGGGGGTAAATGGTCCACTTTTTCCGGCCCTACTTGTAATGATTACCTTGCTGCTCCCCATTCCCCTCCCAAGTCCTTTTACTGGCCTAATTCTATCGGTGTGGTAGCTGCTTTGGTGTTTTAAGTAATCAGTCTCCCCACGCTCGTATGAATGATGTAATTATACACAATTGCATTGTGATTTCACTGAGGAATAAGACATTACTCGTGCTAGGCTCAACCAGAATCGTCACCCACACAAATATTTGATATATGAAAATCTTGGATTCTCGACTAATTTCACGGAACTTTGTGGGTTTATTTCCTCCACAGGAATACTCTTGAACAAGTTTCACTTAATAGGTTATTGTAATTACTTCAGGATTCGTGAACAACATTCCCCCCTTCGTTGTGTTTTCTTTGTTCCCAAGGTTAGTCATTTATGCATTGGGACTCCAATATCTCATTAGGTCCTCAATTTTAACACAACTGTGAGATGTAAAGTGCCTCGGCTACTGATTTGCCTTTAAGAAATGAGATTTCTGGAGTAGGATTAAGTATCTAGCCTCTAGCTTAGT